CTGCGGTCAGTGTGCGGGTGGGTGACCACTTGGATCAGTCTGCGTAGGGACCGAGGGTGTGCGGTATTGGTCCTCGTTAAACTGTGCTACCGTAAAGTGCTCGACTTCGCGCGCAGGTCGTCGGGCTACCGAAGCGGGGGTGCCATCCCTTCCACAGAGGATCAAAATTGTGATGGCATGTCTTCGGATCATCCTTCGGGATGTTTCCCAGACCGTCGCCAATAGCCCATTGTGCAGCTCTAGTGCGACGTAAAGTAACAACAACAACAACGACTCTTCTCTGCAACTTTCTGCTATCTATCTAGCCTCCGAGATTCATTAATAGAAATATGAAGCTATAAGCTAACGCAAAAAGCTCGTCGCACTTCTTTAACAAACGTACCTCTGGTCAATAAAGGAAGAGGTTTGAAGGGAAAAAAGAAAAAACGAAGTGAATTTACTTTCTTATTGTTATAATACATGATTTTGATTGTAAAATAAAGTTACGTAGCAATATTTTCTCTACTTATTACATTATCTACATCATGCATCGATTTGTATAACATGTTTTTACGTATTAATTTAAAAAAAGGTAATGAAAATTCCATAATTATATATGAAACTTAATTGTTTATGTTAATTTACTTATTTCATATCCAGACTTTCTAATAAAATCTTTAGAGTTTCAATAATTACTTAAAAAAATATATGCCTTTAAAAAATTTTGTTCAAAGTTAATTTAGTGTATAATCCCTTGGTTCACTATTTGAAAATTCTGTCATATAATTATGAAGAGAATCAATTATTTATTAATCAAATCGAAGTAAAAATACTCATGGAAAATTTTAAAACTTTAAGCTTCCTCTCTCGAATTTTAGGTGTAAATGACCCCTTAGTTCATATTTAAAATAGCCAAAGTAAAAGGGTTGATAAAGTTTCTTTTTTTAAAAAAAAAAAACGAAAACTGTAGTGTAAAACTTTTTAAACTAGTATCTCAGAAACTTAAATAATGAATCTATATAATAATTTTAAATAATATCTTGTAGAAAAGATCATATACCTAAAGTAAGTATTAGATGGTCCCTGAAATTAAAAAGATTAAATTTTTACAACTTTAGAATTATTATGTTCTATTACTTATTTATTTTATCAATAAGAGTATATTAACTTTCCAAGCGATCAAATCTCTGACGCATTTGTATATAATCGGTGTAGAGTTCCTAGGTTACAAATATGGTAAATTCTATGGTGACTGACATTATATTTTGATAGGGTTTCTTAAACTTTTTTTTTCATTAACAAATACTAGCAGGGTGGTCACCCACCTGGAATTATCAGGGAATTTTTTTTATACTAGAAAAAACCTGGAAATATCAACGAAATTTGGATAAAAGCCTGGAAAAATCATAGTATTTTAAAGAAAAGCTGGAAATTTTTTCTTTGATAATTTTTTTAATTTCACTAATTTAAATTATTTTCTTAATTTAAATTATTTTATCCATTATGCCCACTTTTTTTAAACAGAAATGTATCGCCAAACAGTTGAAATATCATCAACTTAGCGATACTTTGCTTGCATCAAAATTTGCTCCATTACAGCTCTGTTAAACTAGAATGTAACATAAAATGCTCCCACGGTTGCTAAACGAATGTAGAAATCTTTGATTGCTGTAGGACTGTGCAATTTAGGAAAGATTCTGGGGGAAGTGGAAAAAGGGATTAGGATATTAGCTTCTGTTTTTAAATTCTATCCTTGGGCTGAGTCCATTTATGGATCAAGTTTGTTCCGATGCTTTGGTGGTAATTTTTTTTTCTATTTTGACAAAGTGTTTTTGTATTTTTATCTTTATAAAATTCTCCAAAAATTAGTTAGTTATAATTGAATAATAATTTTATAAGGAACCAACTATATATTTTAATATTTAATTTTACTCTTTTGTTGGTCAATATATGATTTTGATTCAAAATTTTGTACCAAAACATTAAAAAATAAATAAAAAATCTTGCCAAATTGTCAACATAAATTATTTTTTTCAAGATGATATGTTGAAAAAATAACATTGTGAATAAAATATTTTATAATATAGACTCTTTTCTTGTACACATCCTATACTTAGTAGGAAAAAAGAAGCAAAAACCTGGAAATTTTAAGATTTTTATCTGGAAAAATCAGGGAAATTTCAAATCTGATTTGAGTGGCCACCCTGACTAGATAAAATTTTTTTAATTATAAGCTATGTTTATCAAAGCTGAATATTATTCATATTAGAAAAAATGGAAAAAATTATAATTGTTTTGTTTAGAATAAAAATATAAAATGTGACTGATACATTAGTTAAACGGGAAGCAAAATATTAAAATTTTATTTTAAAATTCTCCTTCTATAGGCAATAATGGTATTATTATTTTTTTTCAAATTAACATAAAACATTGAAAGTACATGTGGAATGACATATAGAAGTTGGCAAATGGTGAAAAGCTCTTGTTACTGATGTTACAATTTTTCACTGTTCTTATATGAACTACATTGAAATGTTAATAAAAAAAAATTTTATTATTATAAGAACTACAATTTTTGACTTAATATCAAAAATGATTAAATAAAATTCTAAGAAATGTATTAATGGAGAAGTGCTATGAAACATTTATTTTTTATTATATTTTTCTTAGTATCATGGAATTGCCCATATATTAAAATATCTAAATATAAATTTATGAATTATTATAAGGTTTATTTAGTCATTATTAAATATGTATTAAGTCATTATTAATTCGAATAAATAAAGTGCTTAAATGAACATACTAAAACAGCAAACATTCTTGTTTTAAGTACGAATGTACTGTTATAACCATTGCTTGAAAAAATGAAATCAGTGAATGTCACCAAAAATCTGAGTTATCTTCTAGTACAGTGATAGCCAAGTTATCATAGCAAGCTACTAGTAGCTCCCTGGGACATTTTCAATAGTTCATGTTAATACTCCAATTAATTAACCTTGCTTCCTTCACTGAACTGTACTTGCTCATGAGAAAAAAAAAATATTAACTTTCTGATTAGTGTTAATAAGTCTGTTAAAAATCTGTTATCACATTTTTTCATACCAACGGCTTGGTAGCTCAGAAACTTCGTAAGTTTAGTGACTACTGCACTAGTGTCTGAGAATCTTCTGCATCAGTGTAATATGACCACTTTGTTGCCTATTTTTCGTGTAGATTTAATAAATTTTTTAAAATTGTGGAAAATTGAAAAAATAAATATTTATATGTATTTATTTTTTTGTTTATTTTCCTTTTTAAAGTTAAAATCTGTCTCACAGGTGTTAGAGTGGCATCCCTATTGAATAAAAAAAATTCTCCATCGACACACCAAGTTCTTTTTATTGAAGCTTACATGAGCGAAGAATGGAAGCAAGAGTAATGCTACTCTTTCTGCTGTAAACACCAGATTGTATCGAAAGAAGGTTTCTCTACCTCTTTTAAGTTTTCATGAAAAATTTTAATTACAATAATTAGACTTAATATTTTTCTAAAGTAATTTAATATTTAAGTTCTTATTGTTTTAACTTTTCTTAAATATACCTTTATTTTTAGTTGTATAAATTAAAATAAATTTTAAAATATTTAAGAATTATTTTAAAGAAAGACAAATATCTTTTAAAATTTTACCTGCATTGATCCCAAAATTACTGTAATGCCACAATTTTAGGAGAAAAAACTAAATTGAGCCAGCTTTAACATAAAATTTTCATATTTAACCAATTTATTCAGGTTTATATTATTTATTCATTTAGTGTAAGAAAGAAAATATCTTTTTTAATATTCTTTAAAAATTTACTTTTTGTTTATTTTAGGAAATGAGTACAATGATAAACTTAGGAGATAGATTTGAAAGTTTCAGTAGTTTTGAAAAATCCTTGGAAATATTCGAAACTGAAACTAACACACGATTCTGCATTGCTGAATCAAAGACATTAGAAAACACTAAACAACGTTATCCACGATGTGAACGAGCTCCACAGATGTTAAAATACTATTCTATTAGGTATAAATGTATGCATGGAGGTGTTTTTAGAAAAAGTAAACAATCAAGAGGACTTCGAAGTTCATCGTAAGTATTTTTTGTTTCTATATTTTAAAAAATTTGCAGTAAGATATCAATATAACAGGTAAAAGTCATTGAATCTTATTTGAAGGAAATTTGATAAATAGTAATTTTATTGTGATAAAAAAACAGCATATCATATTGTAATCAATGCAGGATTTGTCCTCAAATAATTTTGATGATACATGTTACATTGTGTTGGTGACTGAAGGAATGGGGGGTGGGTAGATGTAACATTTAAAGTATATATATATCAGGGTGCATAGAGTTTTTAAAAAGTGCTTAAAGGTTTTTATTTTCAATTTTCATTTTTAAAAACCCTTAAAGGGCCTTATTTCATTGGGTGTTTTGAAAGAGTGCTTCATTTCCCCTTTTTCAAAATGAGATTTTTCCTTTACCATGTAGATTTTTGCTACGAATTATGCAAAGAGACACAGTTCACATTGTTCTACATTTTCACAATTAATTCTATCCCAATCTATTTTGGCATATTGTCAGTCCTTCAGTATTGTCAGGTTCTTATTTTCATTTTTAAAAACCCTTAAAGGTGCTTATTTCATTGAGTGTTTTGAAAGAGTGCTTCATTTTCCCTTTTTCAAAATGAGATGTTTCCTTTACCATGTAGATTTTTGCTACGAATTATGCAAAGAGACACAGTTCACATTGTTCTACATTTTCACAATTAATTCTACCCCAATCTATTTTGGCGTATTGTCAGTCCGTAACATATGAAAATGTTATTCGTTTTATATGTTTCAAAATTTCATAATTTTTGACAATTATCAAAAACAATGCCAAAAGTTCTTTTTTTTTTACATGACAGTTAAAACAAGATAAAAACTGACAATTGCCAAAACCTTTCCAACCCTGCCTAATAATGATATTTTTTTTAAGTCCTAAAAAATATTTTTTGAGTTCTTGAAAAGTGCTTAAAAGGTGCTTATTTTTGTTGAATAATTTGGCTACGCACCCTGTATAATATATATATATATATTGGGGGTCTGCTCAGGCCAAATTTACTACCGTTTAGAGGTACCTTCACAAATTCAACTTTAGGAAAAAAGGTAGTTTCACAAAACACTTTTGCTTAAAATTTTATTCCTGTATAGCATAAGTGATATTGGTATATCCTGTATACCAAACGATGTATCCATATTTTTGTGTTGATTTTTTAATCTAATTTTTAATTTTCTCAAATTATGTCTAAATTTTCACAAAATAGGTACCTCTCTGAAAAATCTAGACAGATCCCTGTATATATATGCATATACACACACTGCCCTACATTAATGGTAGGGACATTTTCAGTTTTTGACTTTCTTTTTTTTTAATTACTCAAGAAATACTTAAAGGATTATTTTTTAAATTTAGAGATGTTCATGGGATTTTCCATACTTAGTAATAAAATTTAAAGCTTCCAGAGATTGGAGAAACCTACAATAAATTACAAAAGAAAACAAGTATTTTTGAACATCTTATACTGGAAAATCACACCATGAGCTTGTAACTTGCATCGATTACTTTAGTTGCTATTTTTAATAATGTTAAAAATAACAGCTGCTTAAAGTTTCGTAAACCTAGAGTAAATATTTATGAAGATATAGTCATTTTTATAAAAAATTAATTTTTTTAGCCTCAAAGTTTCTTTGTTATAACTTTATCGATATTCAATGGAATTATACGAAACTTTTGGAGCAATTTAAGATTAATTACAAAATAGTTGACTAAAAATGTTTAGAAAAATTTGTTAGAAACTGTGCAAGCTATGAGTATTTAAGCTAATTCTTTAATGCTATGCATGCACTAAAAGATTTTAAAAAGTAAACTGCTTTAGAAGTGAAAGAGAAACAGAGAGTGATTGTACTCCGGAATTCTGACTTTTTCGTATCTTTCCAGGTCTAAAAATTAGGGTATGTGATTTTTCCATGTTTTTCAAGACCAATGACTTGCGGACTTCCTCGAATTAAAATTTATAATCAGACAAATTTTTCATTGCAATTCAAAAGTGAGAATTGCGGGTTATAGAATTTAAATTTTGAAACTTTCGCTAAATCGCGTTGATGAAAAATTTGCACTCATTTGATTCTTCTTTTTTTTTCTAAGCCAGAATCCACTATTTTATTCAAGTGATTTAAATATCAAACATCGATTCTCCTATTTATCTGATTTAAAATGTACACATTGCTAATCGTATTCATGAGATTTAAAAATCATACATCGAGATTTGTATTCATGTGATTTAAAAATATAATATCAATTTGTATTTATGGGTTTTTAAAACCAATATCGCGATTCGTATTAGCGTGTTTTTAAAATCGAAAGTGGCTATTCATATTCACACATTTGTAATGTCAAACATTGCTTTTCGTATTTATGCAAGTTAAAAATCTAATATGGCGATTTGTATTTTCGCTTTCATAAAATCCAATATTGCAAATTATATTCAGCGATTTTAAAATACAATGTTACTATTCTTGTAAAAACTAAGTTTTTTCTTACATTAGTTACTACAAAGGAGTGATATTCTTCATTAGTAGATAATTTAATTAAAAATATTAGTTCAAAAAATTATAATAAACATGTATAGTATATAAATTAATATCTTGATATCGAGTTTTTGCACATAAAATTTTCAGGATTTTTCACTTTGTGTCACAAACACCCCTGCATTAAGCAGCTATTCATCATATTTTAACTGAGCTAAAGCTGATTTTTATACTTTCAGAACTCTTAAAATAGGATGTCAAGCCTTTATTCATTTATTCTTGTCCGATGATGTCACATCTCTTGTTGTCAAGGCCTTGAATCTGGAACACAATCATGATACAAGTGAAGCAATTTTTATAGAAGTGCCTACTCACAGAAAGCGGAATTCTAAGCTGAGAGTACAAGTAACAGAATCAAATGCCAAGAAGAGAAAAAAAATAAGACAAGAAAATATTCCTCAAGATACTGTAAATGTGGCTCACTTACAGGATTTAACAAATTTAAACGCTTCAAGTAAATGTTACATTACAATATTTTCTTTCCCCTTCATCTTTCTCCTCTTGTCTAAATAGGTTTGTAGTTACATCAACTAAACTTAATATATTAAGTCACACAAAATTAAATCTTCCCTAATAGGGTAGTTGTATAACACAAGAGTTGACAATATTTTGAATTTTTTTTTTTTACCACTAGTATTAAAAATTGCCTATTGGCATTAATTCGATTGACAAATGTACCTTGTCAAGCCTACACTATTAACAAACAGCTATTATTTGCAGATTTCTTTCCTATAAAGTTGAAACAGTTTATTCTATAAACTTATTTTTGTTGTGTTTAGTCGAGAATATTCTTAGATATTACTTTCTCTTCTTCATGTGTACAGTGGGCACAATAAAAAACCTAATATTTAGAATATAATTTGATATAATGGTCAGACTTTCACGTTACCAGGACTCAATCTTTAATAAGTTAATAAATAAGGATGAATGATATTTTTAGTTACAAAATTAGACACAATGTACTTTCTCTGAATATATATATTTTTGACAGATTCAGACTCTTGACCCTCTAAATATTGGGGGTGTATACAGTTTCTATTCAAAATGATTGTTTCTCTTTGAAAAATAGGGCTGATTTTTCTTGGCTTAGAGTAATGCCAGCATTTTTTCAAAGATAATGATAATTTTTTTTTAGATACTTTGTTGGAATGTTGTCATTTCTATTGAATGCTTTAAATTTTTAATTGAGTTAATTTTGGTAATAGTTTTGAAAATTTATGTAAATTGTTAATAATAAAAATCTTGGATGATCTCTTAAGATAATGTTCAGGAACAAAATGGGCATGAAATCCCAAATGGAATTGGAATTTATGAAACCAAGTTTTCAACTCTTTGGACATAAGTCAAATATAATGTAATTTTTCATTTTTATCGTGACAATTTATGGTAAGAAAAAACAGGTAGAACTGGTTATATAATCTTTATCAAAATAATGCACTAAATACTTATCAGGTCCCTAAATGTTGTTATTTCCTTTATCTTGCAAACTGTACCATTATATTACCTCTATTGATGCTAACCTACTTCCCCTTTGTTTGTTCTTTGCATTGGATACCTAAGTAAAAGTCTTTTCATACTTTTATTTCTGAATTTATTACATCACAAATATCACCTCACATTTCTAAATATTTTGGATTTAAAAAAAAAAAATTTTAAAACCACCAAAATAAGTCTTTCTTTTTTTTCAAAGAAAATTTTTACTTTTTGTTAGTTCAAATTGTATGAAGTAAATATTTTAACTATTTTTATTATGAAGTGACCAAAATATTTTAGTTTTTAACATTTCCAGATTCACAAATATATCTAACCCCAAATGGAACAGATTGTGAAGCACCATATGGACTTGCTCCAGATGAGGCAGTATGTGAATCAGCAGATGGATCAGAAATTAATCATAATCCTGCTGTAACGGAAGTAGAAGTTGAATCTAGTGAACATAAACTGTGTAGATGTGGAATTGGTAAATTAATTTAAATAAGTTGCTGTTGAGATACTTGTTTAATGTTTGAAAATGTTAATTTAATTATAGTTAACTTTAATTACAATAACTTTATATTTTGAATTTATTGTAGTTTTATGAATACTTATTTAAAACATTTAGCTAAATGCACACAAAGATGAGTTTGTCCATAAATTGATATCAAATATTTGAAAATTGAAATCTAGTGTGAAAATATTGCCATTCTTCATGATGGCATGAGAAGTAGAATTGTTAGGACTTCTCTCCCTTTTTTATTTGAAGAAATCTCAAAATTAACACATTACAGCAGCGAGAAAAAAACATTATGGATTTAAATTGTAAATTTTATGGGTTTTTTTTAACACATTGTACATACTTTAATGCTATTTATATACTTTTACAATTATTACTACCAGATTTTCTTGTTCTGAAACTTAGAAAATTTAACTTAAAATAATGGTGACATATATATATATATTAATTATTAAAAGCAGCTATGAATATAATACCTGCAAGTAATATTTAAAGCCTAGTTTTGTTCTCGTTTTATATGCACTTTAAAACATGCAATACATATAACAATAATGTTAATTCTGAGTTCATAATTACAGAAAAGATTGTTTTCCTGTTTTGTTTTTTCCAAATAGCCCTGTTTAGTTTAGCACCCTTTTTTCAATTTGTTATTGTTTCCTTTTTTTGTAATGGCTTTTTGCAATTTGTGGGCAAATAATTATTTTTTTTGGTTTGTGAGAAAATTTATTTAATTGTTTGGTAAATCATTGTGAAGCAATTGTTTTATATTTTAGTAAACTCTGATGTGAAATTTTATGTAATGCTATGGTTTGCATGGAGAATATAAAACTTTTCCCGTTTCATTGTAATATCCCACTGGAAAATTATAACTCTTCAGCTTGGAAAATGATTTTTAATTTTGCACCAAGCTGCAAAATGTGCCATTTATAACTCTTGTGAACACAAATCATTATTTGTAAGTCACATTAACACAAATTGTGATGTAGACTGTGCCAATTTGATCCGTGATATAGGAAACATAAATTGTTTTTGAGAACCGCATCTTTTCACATGATAAAATACAATGCATAATTTGATGAATAGTTTGATAAATCTAGAAAAGGATCGACTCAATTTTTAAAAATTAAATTTCTTGAATGTTATCTATGAGCAAAAAAACAGGGACATTATGGTCAGGAGAATCCTTGTTCAATAAATGACAGTGCATTCTGCTTAAAGGTTGTTTGCTCTGCAGCATGTGACACACTTTTTTGCATATTCTGTTTCTCTTCCTGTTTTTTTATTGAAAAATAAATTACCAAAGATATCACAGTTTACTTACACCAATTCTGTTTGTTTTCTAGGAACATTTGATTTAACGAATCAAGATTTGATGAAAATGGAAGTTGAAGAGCATTATCATCGTTTGGAAGTACTGCAGCTTCAAAAAGCTTATGAAACTGAAAGAATTGAAAAAATGAGACATTTATATGACCTAAAAATTCGATTAGCAGAGCAGGAACTTCAGAACAGTAATTTTTAAGTGAAGTGTAGTTTTTGTCTTTTTTAATCATAATATTTTATTATTGTGGCTCATGTAATGTTATATACTGTAGCTATAATTGAAAATGTAAGCATATTATGTTTAACAAATAATATTATATTTTTCTATTACTTGTTGCTTACTTGAAAACTAGCTGGACAGAAATATTAAATTGCATTTTTTCTTTTAATTTAAAAATTAAAATTGAGAAATATCATTTTTAATACTTGGTTTCTAAACTGACTCATTAATTTTATCAATATTTTCTCTGTATATTTTTTTTAATTTGCTTTTTGAATGTTTTTCTTAAAAAATAGTTAATTTGGTGCTAGAAGCAGCTGTTGTTAGTTACCAATTAAATTGATTTCTACGCTCTTTTTTTATAACAAGTGAATAAAAAACTAAGGAATGAATTTCAATTTTATTTTCATTGGTGCTATGATCACGCTAAAACTACTAGATCAACAACAAATTTTCAACTTTTGTAGGCATACAAAACACTGTGACAATTATGCTTAGACAAAAGATGCCAAATTGGCATGATATTTCTAACATATTAAACAGCTGTTTCAGAACAAAGTTAATACATTATAAACTTAAATTAGACTTTAATCCAACACCCTCAAGACCCAAATAATGTTGGAAAATCAAAATAATCCAATAACTGGTGGACTTTTTCAACTATATTTCTTTATTCAATCATAAAGAACAATGTAATATTAAAAAGAAAGAGAAACTAGCTACGTTTCTGTTTTCCGTTTATTTGCAATTTATTAAAAGCCTGATTTCAGATTTGTCAAGACAATGATTGATTAATATCTCTAAGAATGACAGAAACGTGTGTTAAAATATTTTTAATGCCTGATTAAAGGGTATAAGAAAAGTGATGTGTTGTATAATAAAGCATCAGATTATCAAGGTGCCGTTATATTGAAAAGCTGAAAAAAATGTGGCTAAAGGGAGAAAAAAGTAGGTTGGTTATTAAATAAATTGCCATAACTAAATAATCAGAAATTAAAATTCGTACAAACTTTTTTTATAATGCAACCTGATAATTATGATTGTTTCTTGGTCTAGAACAGAGATGATTGTTCTCCAGAAAAGTCCGGATTTTTCGCTAACTGCAATGGGGAAAGTTTCGGAAATACAAGATCAAGAAATCATCGATCACATTTATGTATAAAAATTCTTGTATATTTTATTTAAAAATATTAGAACTAAAGTTTATACTTGGCATCTCTTTCATTTGTAAATATTTTTTTCTGGTTGAATAAGAAATGTGATTAGAGATAAAAGTAAATTTATACAAAATTATTGATTTGAATTATGCTGCATATAATTTATCTCGAATTTCATGTTGTGAAAATATCAATGATTTAACATTATAAAGACATTAATTTTTTGAAATGCGTAATTAAGGATTTTACTCTCGAAATTTTCAGGATTTTTGAGTTGGGCTCACAAGAATAAAGCAATGTTAAATATAAAGAGAGTTAATATGATTTGACCTACAATTTTAAACAGAAATAAATGTATCAATTATTAAAAATAGTGAACACAGTTCAATTGACTAATTGATTTCGTTCAGATAAAACATTTAACATTTTGCCGGGGGAGGGGGGGAAGAAAGTACAAATGCTCATAGTAAATAATCCTGTTTCTCCTTTTTGCAACTAAACACTGAACGTCATTAATTTCAATTTACTTCCCTTTGTTTTGTTTTGTTTTTTTTTAATTTTTCTATCAAAAGCATGGAAAATATAGTAATTCAATGTGATATTTAAATAGCTTTGTAAAGATGCTTCTTTTTATTTCTGTATCAAATTTTAGTCATTCAAAAAAGAAAAAATATATGTTTTCGAAAACCGCAATTTCAATTCAAAGTTTATTGTATTTAATCAATGGTGTCAAAATACATGCGTCCCAAGTAGAGTTTAGATGTCCCATAGGTGAAACTGTAACCCTATTATACTGTTTTGTGATCAATTGGGTATAAATATAACAAACATCATCTATGGGGAATCAAAATTACTTATGCAAATTATCTAACTTTTGATCCAAAATTGTTTGGTTATATAACCAATTAAATAATGGCTACTTTGATTAAAAAAAATAAGTTTGAAACAAAATTCTGTTGAGTAAACTAAATTATGTATTGAGATACGTTTCTTTGCTTAAATAAAAGATTAGTTGATGCAAACATTTAAAATTTTCTGTATTTCTTTGAAAAACCAAAAAAAAAAAAAAAACAATTGGTGTTTTGAAATTAATGAATGATTGTGTATAGAAATATATAAAATTTTTATTTTCTTACTAAGTGTACTAAGTACTACTAAGTACTTTTCTTATTAAATCAATGCACAAAAATTATGTTCTTATCAAATTCGTAATATTTTAGGTTGTATTTTATTTTTGTTAATAATATTATCTTGTCAGGAACTTTGTGTTTATTCTTTGATCAAACTTGATTTTTAATTATGGCCTATATTTGTTCTGAAACTTTAAAAAAAAATTGTGCTCTGAAGTAGTAGCAAATGTTATTGCTAAATTTTCTAATGTGCAAACTCGAAGATAATTGTTTTAATTTATGTTATATTTATCTCATTGCCAAACTCTTTCAGTGATAATTTGTTAGTATGTTTTTCAGTAATAATTTATTTTTCTTAAAAAGTAAATTTAAAACGGAAACTGATAAATAATTTCAACTTTTTTGTATCTAATTCAAATGAAAAGTCTGTGTTTATAAAATGTCAGAGCAAGATATGAAGCCAAAGTTATGAATAATGTTTGACAAGAAAAAATTTACATCTAGATAAATTATAAGTTGTTTTTTTTTAATTACAATAATTATTCAATATTATTTTTTTAATTACAATATTTTTATAATTACAATAATAATTATAATTAGCTTACAATAATTATTCTTTTAACATATATTTCTTGATTGAGCTAATTTGTTTTAATTTCATAAACAACATACATTTAGTTAACAAAACTGTCTATAACAGCTAAATATAAATATAATTAAATTTTATGATTTATATTATTCACTTTCAGTTTAAGAATACGGAATTTTTATTTTTGAATACTATTATTATCTGTATTAACTATTATTTACATGTCCAAAAAATCACATTAACCATGTATTTAAATCGATACTTAATACTGATTTATATTTTATTCCTGATTGTAAATTACCACTGATTTATATTTTAAATATAAATAAGTAGTAATACCTTGTTATTAATACATAAGAAGTATTAGGTATAACTAAATAGGAAGAATTAAACACAAAACAGTTTCAAATAATGAAACAAGACATTTAATGAGTTTGTATTGGTCTATCTTTCTATTTAACATGTATCTAACTATCTCACATAAACCATGTATTTAAGTCAATACTTTTATTTAAAATGTAAATTGAACACAATACAGTTTCAAATAAACTGAGATGACACATTTAGTAAGCTTGCTTTGCTCTATCTTTTTATTTTTAAATTGAAATTATACAATATTTTCTTTCTTTTCATTTTATTCCTATTGTTTTATTTTTTTTTTCCTTGGAAATAGTAATTAGGAACTGCAATACTCTGCTTGAAAATTTAATCTTTTTAAAAAGCCTTAAATAATAAATTTTTGTTTTAAAAAATTTATTTGGCTAATTAATAAATTAAAGCATAAATATGTAAGCTTCTATGTAATGTAAATTGCTTTTAAAGAGTGATAAAAAGAGAATAAATATGTAAATAAAAATATTTAAATTAAGTTTTGCAATGTATTTATTTTAATAAAAAAGAGGTTGCATATTCACTTTTTTTTCTTGCTTGTAAAAATGCCTTGTCCTTTGCAACCTATATATATTTTTACATACAATACCAGTAAACCAATATTACAACAATAATTTTTTTATTTTATTTTATTTGTTGTTATTTGTAAGTATTTTTCTTGTTGATTTTACAACAGTTAATATTATAAATGTTTTTTCAAAAATAAATCTTGGTTCTTCATTAATGGGCTCTTTATTATTCATTATTGGTTCTCTTTAAAACTGTCCCCCCTCCACCATGGAATTATTGTAAGACACCCAGTAGATCATCAAAGTTAAGCATGACTGGCAGCAGTAAATAAATGGATGGGTGGCTACTTAGATCAGCCTGCGAAGGGGCCGGGGTGCAGAATATCAGTTTTCGATTCTCATTCAACTTCTCTACTGTAACGACTTTGTGCGCTGGCCTTCGGGCTACTAAAGTCCCCATCACCAATAGCCCATTAAATTGTTTTTCAGCATTTTTTTTTTTTTACTGTTCCAATACTATTTGAACATTTATAAACTTAGAAGCAGTTTTTTTTCTTCCAATTCTACCGTAAATTTAATTTGAAGGTGGACTACTTTTTATAGTTTTGTTAATGGTATTATTTTACTTAAGAGCTACTCAAAAATTGACTCTACTACATTAACGTTCTAGATAAAATTCGGTTTTATATAAACAAAAAACTTTTTCAACTGCAATGAAATTTTAGAGAAACTGCAAACATTTCAATTGTAGAGAATGTTAAAATCCTACTGTCATTCTACTGAAGGAAGTTCAACAGATCTTTGAAAAGGTAAAAAATAATTTCGATTTATTTCTAAAAAAGTGCCGTTTTCTTTACCATGAACCATGTAAAATGGATTTAGAACATGCACTGTCGATAATGTTTCAGTGTATGTTTTTTTATAAGTATGTCATAACACAAAGTTTGTCTAAATTCTACTGATCGTGCGAATTCTACAAAACGTGATTTCTATTCTGATGCACTCAGCGCCATTGCCTTGGAATCTGTCACGTCAAGCCTTCCTGTTGAGAGATTTACCGACAAGTCTCGATTTTCCCAAGCTGGTGTTTTAATGATTTTTTCTTTACGTATGAGTGGACATTTTACTTACGCAACTCAGTAGCCTACCAATAATTTGCTGTTTGTCCCTCTCCTTTCAAGACAGCTGGGGAACTGCTAACAGTGGCACCCCACCCAACCCTATAGTGCTGGGGGGCGTTCTCTGGTAAACAAAAAAAAATTATCCATAAAGCATTTTTTTTAAAATTTTATAGGTAATGAAAATCTTTATATAATTGAATTGAATTATTGTAATATCAAGAGCTATTCTCATGTTATTAAGATAAATTATATTTCAATTCAGTAACTTTTTATCATAATAACTAAATTATGATAAAATAATTACTAAATTATGATATTATTACTTTTTATCATAATAATATAATAATTTTTATCATTTTCCTTATCTTAAAATAAAATTAAAAATACTCGAATAACACAGTCATGTTATCCAAAAATTTATACTGACTTTTAAGACAAAAGTGTTCAATGTTATTCTTCATAAATCAGGAAGACACCACCTGCTTATTCTTGTGCATTCTGCAAGATTCTAACAAAAAATTACTTTTCAAACAATTATTTGGTTGTGAGGCTTACCAAGCCACTGGAGTTGAATATCTCTGTGTCCCTGTTTTTTATTCACTCCATGCTGTTACTGTATCCCTGTTCACTTTTGACTGAACATGATTACCTTTGTTGCTCTTTGTGTTTAATTAATTTGGGTGATACATCTGACTTTTCATTAATATTATTTGGAGCCAGTAAAAACCGCTTCTCATTCTGGACCTAAATTTTAAAATTATTTTAGTCTTGCGTATTTGTTAAAAAATAAACTCATGTCAAATAAATTTTAAAAAGCTCCTTTTTTAGTATCCTATATTCATGATTCATTATTTTAATAATAAAGATGAATAAAAAAAAATTTGCTAATAAAAGCTCAATCGTTATTTTTTATCAACAAAAAAATTACGACAAATTTGAATATTTAAATACTGTAGTTAAAATATTTTTTTAAAAAAAAGAAATTTTAGAACCTTTTATTTCAGCAAAATTGACGATCGAAGTGGGCTACAGGTGATGCAGAGGAGAACTCTCTATTTAGAACAGTGGTCACCAACTGGCAGCCTGCGGGCCACATCCGGCCCGTGAAGCCTTTTTTTGTGGCCCGCNTTTTTTTTTTTTTTTTTTTTGCTGATAATTTTCGTAAAGATATGGGTTTTAAATACTTTTCTTTCTTTAAAAAAAAATTCTAATTTCTTCGTTTCTGGGAAATTTAACTTACCAACGGTGAAAAAAATTTATTTCTCAGGTAAAAATAAGAGTCCTATATGAAATTTTTACAAAGTTGCGGTCCGCCGTTTGACTGGTGTTTTCATTTGCGACCCACGGCCTTATGTAAGTTGGAAACCCCTGATCTGGAAGTTTGCTTGGAAAAGTTGATAAGAAAGTATTTATTTGGAAAGTTGCCAAGAAAATGCTTACTTGGAAAATTGCCAAAAAAGTATTTACTTGAAAAGTTGCCAATAAAGTGTTTACCTGGAAAGTTGCTGGGAGAAGTTTTATTTAGAAAGGATTTCATGGACATTTGAGAGGAAAGTGTTTCTTGGCAAGTTGTCAAGAGAGTGTATTTTTGGTTAGGCTGCCAAGCGATTTTCATTGAAAAGTTGTCAAGAGAAATTTCATATGGAATGTTGCAATAAATATGAGTATTTTAGCATATTATCCCCAGTGGCTAAATGAAACCCATCCGCTTCAGATTGATTGATATCAGCTTGTCCGGAAAATAAAGGCGACCTGTGCGCAATGCTGATCACATTCATGTCGTCGGTCACTAAATTTTGGAGCATTATTCTTAAATACCTCCCTTAACCCACTATGAACTATTAAAAAAATAATTTATTTCGTTTTTTTTTTTTTTTTTAAATTTTGTCAAATTTAACAAATTAGAGCATAAATTTAGAATTTCAAAAAAGCTGGATGTTGCTTAATGCTATTAAACAGAAATAAGTTGAAACGATGCTTAAAACTTTCGACAGTTACATGTAACATGTTACATTCTGCTGAATGTAAAAAGTGTCTTAAAAAATTGAAATCAAAGAAATTATACTGTGCATAAATTAAACTAATAATAAAATTGAATTTAACTAATATTGAAATGCTTAAATAATAATCGAAATAATTAAAAAGAAATAACTTTACATATTTTAAAGATACCACTAACAAAAAAGTGATAAACTTAGAAATATTTCGTTAAATTATTGATAAACTATCTAAAGTTAATGGTTTTTTATTAAATTAACGATAGTTTATTTGGTGTTTTAAAAATGATGCAGTTGTGAAAAATTATTGATGGGGCTCGTTCCCCCTCTAGACGCTACACTTAAGCTTAGAAACATAAGCTAAAACATTATAAGCTAACAAACAGCACTGATGTCATCTTGAAAATATTTTCAAAACTGAATTGCTAATAATTTATTTTAAAACAATGGTTTCCGCTAAGCGAAAGAGAAAATACCAATTCTTAAATGTCTCCGAATTTAATATGATTCATAAAACTATACGTCCCGCAGTGGACTGATCGTTAAGACACGGTTCCCAGCAGATCACCGAAGTCAAGCATCACTGGCTACGGTCAGTGTGCGGGTGGGTGACCACTTGGATCAGTCTGCGTAGGGACCGAGGGTGTGCGGTATTGGTCCTCGTTAAACTGTGCTACCGTAAAGTGCTCGACTTCGCGTGCAGGTCGTCGGGCTACCGAAGTGGGGGTGCCATCCCCTCTGCAGAGGATCAAAATTGTGATGGCATGTCTTCGGATCATCCTCAAGGATGTTTCCCAGACCGTCGCCAATAGCCCATTGTGCAGCTCTAGTGCGACGTAAATGAACTACCTACCATCGTCTCATACGACAAAAATTGTTGTAATAAATCTCTCATGGGCTGCAACAGCGGCGCAACTCACAAAAATCAAGTTTTGAGATAAGTGTGTTTAAAGTTTTCATTGCTAAGCAAAATGCATAGGAAATACTTTCGTTTGCTTTAAAGAAAACTACCTTCATGTTGAATTATGAGTTGTGAAAGTAATGTTGCTAAAAGAATGTGTAATTTTATACTTAAACCTGTTCTTAGTCCAAAACGCGTGTTTTTTGAGCGAAATGCTTTTACCTGTGAAAACAAATATAGCATATGAACTGTAGCTACGACAGGGCCATTCACACTGCATGCGATTGAGTACCTGAAAGGCTTTTTTCACTTCAGTTCAGGAATTTTCTAAGTTTTCAAAGCAAGCTAAAAGCAAGATTTTATTTTTGATGAAAAAGAGTACCAAGGATACAATAATCAATATACGTTAAAAAACTAACTAAAATAGATTTAAATGCTCTAATTCAAAAGAGGTTTTTGTTTAAAAATTTATATTGCTCTTAATTCAGCTGTTAATTAACATTTTAAACTGTTGTTTGACATAATTAAATTATTTCGTCTGCAGTTAAAGTAAGATGAATGATATTCATACAATTATTTCAAGTGTCATTATTTATTTAAATATATTTTATTCAAAATTTATCTTACTGATTACTACCATATTTATAGAGAAGAATAAATGTTATATAATTTTGAAAAAGAGATTATGGAGCAGTTTTACTGTGCTATATCTTAGTACCAAAGTAATAATAACAGTTCACTTTCTTTTGCTATACGAACTGTCTAACAATCAAAAAACTATCCAGATAATTTTAAATGAGATAAAATATAAAAACTGAAAAGTTGACCAACTAATCCCCTTTCCTTTATAGGGTAGACTATATTTGAAGGTGTCCCTTGATTCTCGCCAAGTTGTGATCGCGGTTGATCGCCAGCTGGGCGATGTTGAAACCCAATCGTGATTCTGATTGATTTAGATTTTAGCGTTATTTTTAAATGTTCAACGGTATATGTAATTTCAGAGGTCCGTTAGTTCTACGTTGGATATCCGCTTGTAAGTTTACTTTTGCTTCTGGTCCTAAAAATGACTACAATAAATAAGATAAATCTTAAATTTCTGTACGATTTGAATAACAATGGAAAAAGAGCAGTGATTTATTGGTGTATGAATGAAGGTTTAATTAGTGATAGATATAAATGTCCTGTTTGTGGAAGTTATTTTTTTTCCTTTTCTTTCTGTGCTTACTTCATTAATTTTTGTTTCGATTCAAAATGCATTTTATTGGGTTTATTAATTTTGCTTATATTGGGTTCATTGCAATTTTATAACGTTTTGGCCGATTTTTGTTGAAATTTTCCTATGTTTTGTTGGAATATCATTATGTTTTGGCAGTTATTCCTGTTACCACAGTGTTCCGCGCAAGCAGGAATGGCGCCAAACATAAGCCGCCATTTTCGCCAAGGGGCACCCTCAAGTATATTTTTACCCCTTTATATAATTTTTTATATTCTTAAAGAAAAAATTATTATAGCACTACATCCAAAATTAGTTTTTTCTGTGCAAAATTATATTAAAGTAAACAAGTTTTTATATTTATGTAAAAAAAATTTTCAATCATTTACAAACAATTTTATTTATAAATGCCTTTGAGTTAAATTTTTTTTATAATTATATGAAATTTTTTTTTTCTTTCAAATTTTGCAGCATTAGCTTTGATGAAAAATGTAGGGGTGAAAATGGATGGTCACTGTGACTACCCAAAAAGTTTTTCTGACATTCAGCAATTTTATACTGTTATCTAGTTAGCCGAATTGGAAACCTTTTGATGTTTAAGGAATAAGTAAGGCATTTAAAGTAAATCCATATGTCATCTTGAAAAATCGCAAATTTTAAACTAACTGTCACTTAGTCATCTATTCTTGGCACTGCTAGTAATAACAAATGTTCTACTTGCAAATTTAAATTTTACAAAGATATTTGTTCAATTATGTGTGATAAAATGTTAAACAGTTCAATGTTTATTTAATGGGGCAAAACTTTTACGATTTGGTAAACTAGAATTTTTTTCCCTTTTGGCAAAAATACAACCTTATCCCATTCCATACAAAATTATTCAAATAAACTTCCAACCACATATACTTTTAATTCCATTAAAAAAAAGGTTTGTTCACCTGGAAAAAGTATGTTTCTTTGTTTGAATTCTTTATATGAATTACTTTAAAGATTTAATCTTCCGAGTTTTATCACTCTGGGTAAAATTGTACAGAAATTTCCTTGCTAAGAACTACTTTTTCTTTATATAGCTTAGAATGAAACTTTTTTTTTTCTCTTTCATTATAGGAAAGTCACTTGGTTAATGTGTAGTAGTTTAAAGTGTGCCATTTATACTTTTATGTTGTTTTTTTTTACGTAAAATTCTCTTCACTATATCTAAAATAAATTTTTTTTTCTTCCTTGTTGCCAACTTGAAATAGATACACTTTATAATGACCAAATAAGTTGTGCCAGTTGACGAGCTTTTCTTCATGTACCTGAAAACGCTTCTAAGACTCAGTTTGAGCTATGACACTTTTATATGTCACTTTTGAAGAAGGTTTGGCTATTGCTATTTTGCCCCAAGCTCTAAAATTTAAAATTATTATAATGAATAATATATAATCCAATTGAACAGATTTTAAGAGGACTAACACCCTACAAAATAAAAATAAAATTTTTTTTTATTTATTTCTTTTTTGTCTAATCATATAGTTAATACTTGACTGTTTTTATACATCCACAGTTTATTTGTAAAACCAAAATCTGTTGTACAAATATAACCTCGAAGAGTTAGTAACTAAAATTAAAATATTGAATTAAGGAGCATATGATAGAAAAGTTAATTTTCTCTCTTTGAATAAATCAAATTTTTTTATACTATGGAATTTCATAAATTTTTTTTTTCCATTATAGAAAATAGATATGGTTTTTACTGTAGGGGATCGATTTGAAAGTTTTAGTGCCTTCCTAGGAGCTTTGGAAATATTCAAGGTAGAAACTAATACAGATTTCAAAGTCTATGGGTCAAAGTCATTAGATGTAGCTAGACAGTATCATCCTAAAAGGCTTGCAAATGTTCCAGCAATATTAAAGTACTATAATATTAAGTTTATATGTAGATATGGAGGCAACTTCAAGAGAAGTAAAAGTTCACAAGGACTTCGAAACACATCGTAAGCATTTATTAATTCTTTGATTATTAAAAAACAGAAAAAAAATTATGTATCAACTAAAACACTATATTACATGTAAAAAATATGTGTTTATGATATTGTGCTTGCAGCTTTTTATTAAGTCATGATACTAAGGTTGAAAATTTTATTGAAAACAACAATATTTGATAAACTTTTAAATATGTGTTGTATATATATTTTTTATTACTAATGAATTTCATTAAACAACCCATCAATAAAATTTGATGCCTAACTTAGGATGGTTAATTACAGTAGTAACTAAATTCATGTTCTAGTGATCAGACTTTCAATTTACAAAGATGCAATCTTAATTGTTCCAAGGTCTATTAGATTTACTTTTTATTTTATATGTAGTTCAAGAAATCAGAGACAAATATCTATTTTTTCTGGATTAATTTTTTTTTAGTGACAGATTTGTGTTTTGACTTTCAAAATGTCGGAGATTTCCAGATTGTGAAATAAATAGCTGCAATCTGGAAAGTGCACTTGATTGTTTGATCAAGTAAGCAAATAAAAGCTTTGATTTCTTAATGTTAATTTCACATTTTTACACTAAGAAAATTTTGATTTAATGAATTCAGTTCTTCGAAAAAAATATTTTAATTAGTTAATCCTCAGAGGTATATTTTTGTACAAATTTTACTTTTTAGCGCAACGCTTAAAGTTTAAGTTTTAAAATAAAATTATACTTTTTTTTCCTATGTCTTTGGAAATAGATGGATTAGAATACTTTTTGAACACAATTTTCAAAGCCATTTGTCCAGAGATAATACAAATAATTTAATTTTGTAATATCTAGTCTATAAAATTTTGTTTATAATATAATGTAAACATTTTATATCATTAAAACTCTATAATTTTAAATGACAAAATACAAAATTGGACTGGAACCAGTCAAGTGATTTTAAAAAATTTAAATATAAAAATGCTACTCTTTTTGTCATTACTCAGAAACTATTCAGCCAATTATACTGAAAATTTGTATTTAATCATTTAAAACTACATAGTTACAAATTTTTTAAAAAAAATTTTTTTACTGTAGTTTTTAGCCATTCTTGAATTAAATAACTAAATATCTTTAGACTAATAAGTTTCATACTTTAATGCAAAAAGTTTTTGATTTGCTGAAGAAGCAAACCAAAAACTTTTAACCTTGCAGGACTCTTAAGAGTCCTGCAAAGTTAGATACTTGACATTTTTGATTTTGTTGAAATTTTCAGGATATTTTCTTTATGTAAAACTTCAGTTTGCTAACAATTCAAAGGCAATAAAAGATTTCTGCATAAAAATACAGTTATGAACTTTATTTCACTTATCAATTTAAAAGTCTTATAACTTTTAAACTGTTAATGTAAAAATGTGCCTATCGATTACTTAAAAAAATAAATTGGAACTTAATGTCTTCCTTGCCTGGATAGCAATGTTAGAGGCATACATATATATGACTCAGAATTTCCTCTTCATAGAGCAGGTCATCCGAAGCAAAAGATTAAGATGGCTTGGCCATATCTGGAGAGGTCCAGAAAACAATGCAGTACAAACAGCCATCTTTAAAAATCCTTCTGGATCTCGGGCCAGAGGAAAACTTCCAACTAGATGACTAAATGACTCTACTCAAGATCTCAAAGTAATAAAGATTAACAACTGGAAAAAGTCGCCATGGATAGGAGGCGTTGGAGGCTACTCGTGGTTGAGGCAGCCAAGGCCTGTAAGGGGCTGTCGTGATGAAGAAGAATTTCCTCTTTTCTATATAAAACTTAAATAATTTCTTAAGTATTAGATTTATCGATTTGGGTAAAAAATTTCATCAGAAACATATCGCTCATGGGTTGCAATAGTGGCACAACTCACAAAACAGGCATTTTGGATTAAGAACAGGTATAAATAGAAAATACACATTCTTTTCAGCAGCAATACTAGCACGCTCATAATTCTACTTGAAGGTAATCTTTGTTTAAGCACACTAAAGCAATTCTTATGCATTTTCCTTAGCAATAAAAACTTTAAACCCACTTATCTCTAAACTTGATTTTTTGAGTTGTACCGCTATTGCAACCCATGAGCGATATCACTTGCCTAGATAATGAATATGTTTTGCCCTATTTCCCCCCATCCACCTCAGTAAGTTCTTGATAGAGACTAACACTCACTTTAGAGGAGTATTAAGCATAAATCACAAAGCAATTCTAATTTTCCCATAACTATTTCTCAGTCTATGCCTTAAGTATAGGGCCTTATTATATTAAGAATCAGTAACCTATGATTTTGATTTGATTGATTTTGTTTCTTTTATACTTAAGGCTTCTTGTCCAATCAGTTTTATACTTGTCTAGTTTTGGCAAAGGCAGTTAATGACCTAGAAAGTTGTGCAAAATTTCAGTTTCTTGCCACTTTAAGGTCACACTTAATATGCATCACTGAATGTTGATTTTCATAGGTACTACTAATTAGTACGCATTCACAGAAATATATACGCTTATGGATCACTGCTTACACTAGAAGACTTTGATAGTCTTATGATTGATGAAATATTATTTTTAAAAAATAGCCTTATTTTTAAGATTTTTGAATGATCTTTGACCTTCGAGTTCCACCAAGAGTATTTATGTCTTAATAGCTAGTTTGGAAGTAGTAGAACACAAAATGCCTTTAATGCCTTTGTTCACTCATTTCACAAAAAGTTTTACCCCTTGTGAATAGATGGTTTTTTTTTCATTTTTTAAATTTCAGAAGTTTTTACATTTTGATTCAGTAAAAAAATTTTGACTTAGGAAGAAAAAAAAATTGCAAAATTGAAAGAAACATATTTCTAATAGTTTTACCTACAGAACATGTCCTGAAAGTTTCAACAAAATCAAAAATGTCAAGCATCCACCCTTGTCTGATTTTTTTTTTAAATACGGTATCTTAAATAGTTTTAGATATATATCAGAATACACAAAAAGTAAAATTATTGAAGGGCTCAAATTTTCAACCACTCTCCGATCAACTTTCTAAAGTTCTCGTGATTTCAACCACTCTCTTATTGGCACCATATTTAGATTAACTTAATGTTAAGTATTATTAAGATTTCAATTGTCTTTTCGAATTTCTATGTTACTGCTTCACTGCAATAACTTATAAGTGTTCAAACAAGTGTATTTCATTATTGACTAAAAAGGCTTATTTTTAAAACTAGAAAAAAAAAAGGTTTTTCTAGTTCTAAAAATAATTTATGCGTTGGTGCATGCTCATTACTATTTTTTTTTTCCTCAAAAAACTAATCTTAATTTTGTGATCTATGTTAGAAATTTTTTATTATCCTGTTAATAATTAATATAATTTAAAATAATTGAAATGTATCTTTCTGAATATTTTTTTAAAAATAGAATTTACAGAGAAAGAAATGATTTTTAGTATCACAGCTTCAAATTGTTGCTTAAACAAATGTTTCTTCTTATTAAACTAACGTTTTTATTTTTTTTTTAATTTATTTTTAGGACTAGGATAATTGGATGTGAAGCCTTTATTTATTTAACATTATCTGAAGATTCTAAGGCTCTAGTAATTGGAAGCTTATGTTTAGAACATAATCATGATTTAACTCGGACATTTGAATATGTACCCAGGAAAAAGCGAAGTCGTGAACTGAGAATGAAATTAAACAATATAGAAGTTTATCAGCAAGAAAAGTTGAAAAACAGAAAAAAACCATTGGTACAAAGAATGATTTTTAAACGGAGAAAAAATGTAGAAAGTTCAGTTTTCGTAACACAGGATTTATCAAACTTAAATGTATCAAGTAAGTCTCACATTATTTCTTCTTTTATATCTTTTTATTTAATATCTTTTTCTTTATATCTTAAACTTAATTTCATTTTAAAAATTGCATACAGTGTTTGCCTTAACTGGTCTGTTAACATAATAATGTAATAAATATGTATAATTTTTAAGAAGAATATTAACTATTATTTTGGCTATTGTATGCAACAATTGCACAAAATTTAAGAAACCTAGCTTAAATGTGTTTGAAGATATGAACATTTGTATGGAAAAAAAAATTTCTTTATCTTTCGTTTTTTTGCTATGACTTTAAAAATATTCAATAAAATTAAACAAAAAATTTTTTGAGCAATTTAAAATTAATTGCAAAATTATTACTTTAAAGTTTGAGAAAAATTTGTTCTAAACTGCGCAAGTTATGAATAGTTAAAGTAGTTTTTTTATACTACACATGCACAGATTGAATGAAAACTTTTTCTTCCTTAATTTTTTAATGAATCGTATTTGGCAATTAATAAAAAAATTCCGATTTGAATATCCTAAAAATTTAAAAAGTTTCAAGCAATTTTCTAAGTAGTTTTCGTAATTTTTTAAAAAAAGCTTAAAATAGTTAAAGGTTTTCCACAAATTTCATTTTGTACTATTAAATGAGATTGATAAAATATTACCCTCATTGTTTGGAATCTCCCTCCATTAAAAGTATCTTCTCTTTCGCATGTTTTGTTTTCTTATGCAATCACATTTTGCCGTAGGAACGTTTATTGTAAGGCATTATCATTTGTTATTTAATTTTGTATTATAATACAAAATAATATTCTAGGAAATCCCTTATTATTTTGAGCTTTCTTTAAAAAAGTTTAAAAAAAATTGCTTGAAACATTTTAAATTTTTAAGATATTCAAATCAGACTTTTTTTATTAGTTGCCAAATACATTTCACTACAAAATTACAAAAAAGAAAGAAAAAAAATTTAGTTTTTTTCCCCTTATATATTGCATAATTTTAAATAAATTTTTTTTAATTATTAAATTTTAATTTATTGTATTTTTAAATTTTTATTACAAAATGACTTAAATATTTGGCTCTTTTCATATATAGATGAATATGCGCAAATATCAGGGCCATATGAAGCAGAATCAATGAACAATCCTGACAACAATTCTTCACATTTTGTGCAAGAAGGGGAAGGATCAGAATTTGTATCTGGTGAACAACTGTGTAGATGTGGATTTGGTATAATATTTCAAATAAATTATGTTTCTAACTTTATCAATAACCAACAATATAGCTAACAGTAAAAGGGAAACAAATCATGAGAAAAGTAAATGTTTATTTTAATGAATTTTTTTTTCACATAAAATCTGCAAGCGAAAAGTTTCTATCATGCATTAGTTTTGATTAGACAATGCTAACACAATTTTTGATGATTTCTAAAAAAATGAGAGCAAATTATGTCATGTAAATTTTTTTTAAAAATTAAATAAAAACTTAGTTGAATTTTTATTGAAATATCAACAGAATTTGAACTACATAGAATTTCAATTACTAAACTACAGTGTGTACACTATTATTATTTTTATAGTTTCTACATAAATAAAGGTCTTTTTAATAATATAATAGTATAATGTTATTCTGATATAGGATTTATCTAATGAGTAACAAGGCTACCTGGGTGAAATTGAAGCAGATTTGCTTCACACACATAAAGAGTGTAATCACTGTATATATGTAAATAAAAATTTTCTTAAATTTTTCTTGGAATTGTATTTATCCATTTAATAAATTCTGATAATTTATTGAAAAAAGCATTGAAGCATAATAAAAATAATGTTATCAATATTTTTTCCTTTGGAATCTTAAATTACGATATTAAGAATTAGATCTAACAACAGGGTGCGTAGCATTTTTAAAAAGTGCTTAAAGGTGCTTTTAAAAAGTACTTAATTTTTCCTTTTTTAAAATAAGATATATTTTTTTTTACCATGTCTACTTTTGCCTCAAATTATGCAAAAATCGTAGTTTTTACATTGTTCTATTTAACGTTTTCTCTATTCATTCAACCACAATCTGTTTTGTATACAGTTGGTCCGCTGAACATGAAAGCGCTGATCATGTTACATGTTTGATGAAATACTTGCGGGAGCGCATATACTGAGCTGAAATCAGTGGAGAGGTTTATTGCACTCTGATATGCATTTTGCAAGATATTCTCAATTTTAGACTTCATTTGCAGAATTGCGGGGACCAACTAAATAATGACAAATATTAAATTTTTTTTTCTCTTGTTAATTTCATCGTTACTGAAGCGTCATCATCTTCATCAATGGCAAGCTAATGGACTTCTTGTGCTGTTCTATTTATAGATCAGTACCATAATCTTTGAATTTGACTTGAGGACCATTCACTAAGTACATATTTTCATGTAAGTTCTCAGAGCAGTCGAGAATCACGAAGCTTCATTACCTCAAAATTTCCATATCCTGTTTATTCATTTAATATAATAAAGATAAGAATTAATTGAGATTTTTAAACGTAAAATATTTTACCTGAAGGGCCATCCACTAATCGCATAGTTTTTTTTAAAAACTTTTATTGTACTTAATTACTTTTTTAAAGACTATTATTTTTTTACTTATTAATTATTATAATTGTTTTATTACTTTTAAAATTTTCAGTGCCCTTAATTTGTTTTAAAAAAAAAACTTAATATTTAAAGGCAAGATTTTTAAAAAATATGAAGTAAGGGGCTTTCAATATTTTAAATGCAGCAAAAAATCTTGTTATTCAGATTTGTCATTCCAAAATACTTCAATTCATCTCTTAATGATTTGATTTAAAAACAATTGAAATAAGAAATTTAACTATCTCAGATTTGTTAAATATTATAAATGTAGAGACTATGTAATAATTTACTTCTGACAAATTTATTTAGTTTCAATACTCATTGTTACATTTCGAAAATATTTTATTCATTTCATTAAAGAAATACTGAACCAAGTAATGAATTTAAATAGAAAATTTATTAGGGGCCATTCACTAATTTTCATTTGTAATATAAATTTATTAAAGTTTTCTTAGTTTACTTAATTCTTTACATACTTTTATAAATTCGGTATGATCAATAATATTAATCTTGTAAATGTTTTGTTGACTATGCTATTATAAATAACATTTATTTAAATTTAAAAAAATACACTCGATAACCATTTTAAAGAATAGTTAAATTAATTAGAATTTTGAATTAAAACTTTTTACATAATTAAATAAGGTGATTATTAATTTAAAAAATAATATGAGCTTCTCAATAATTAATGTATTTAAAATTTTGATAAAATTGTTTTTATGGTATCTAATATTATCAAGAAAAGAGTTCTTTGTCGATAACTAGTTATTTTATCATTATCATGTAAAGTCCTTGAAAATTATTTTGCATTTTGTTAATGTATATATGAAGAACTTTCAACATTAGGAAGAAAACTATTTTACTAGTGCACAGATCCTAATTATGATCTTTTTTTAAAGTACTTAAAAATATTGATTGATTAAAAGGTTCTTATTTTTTGTTGAAAAATTTGGCTGCGGACCCTGAAAAATATTTTTTTCTTGATCATTGCATTAATACCTAAGTAATATTTTTTCAGCAATGTTCTAATTAATATATTTTTTTGTATACTAGTAATATTAAATTCTGTGAAATCAATTGAAAAATTATATTTTTTAAAAAAATGAAATATACCCTGAAAATGTTTTATTTGAAACTCCTCAACAAAGAGTTATTAAGCAGCAATTAATATTTAACTTATACAGCTATAGTGAACCTTCAAGGGACCGAAATTTTGGTTCACTATAACCGGGACTTCACTAAGTCCGTTTTGCAAATAATTTTAACTAATAGTTCCTAAGTCCCCTCTCACATTATTTAAATCAATGACCAATAAAATGAAATGCAAAACGTACTGAAACATAATACATAGCAACAAAAAATGCATTAACTTGTATTTTTTATTGCTCTTTGTCTTGAGTACAAAAAAAATAGTAATCTTTAGCTGAAGAGCAAATCCTCAACATCTGATATGAAAGCTCTTCCAACTCTCTGATAATTTTTCCTGGATTTATTTTATCCTGCTTTTTAAACCTGTCTAATGAGCCATTCGAGCACATAGAAGTTGTCTCACCAAATCGCTGAGCAATTTCATTGGCTTTGACTTGACGCATTTATCCAGATACTGGAAGATTGCGGCTTCTTTGAATGCTGTACCAATTCAATAATGCTATTCAATAAGGAAGAAAACAAGAAAAAATGCTTATTGCTACATTCTATGCTATAGATGGTTTCAAAAATCGTATATGTAGCTATTTATTTCGAAGTAGAAATTTCAAAATTATTACAAAAAAAAATGAAGAAAATAAATCAGTCAAATAATTAAAAAGTTTATAATATCCAACTTCCTTCTCTTTTGTTAGTTCACTATTTCCACAAAAATTAACATTACACGTGTGTAGCAAGGCGCGGTAGCGAACATTTCCTTCACTATATGCGGGAGTTCATTATAAACGGTGTTCACTATAGCGGTGTTTGACTGTATTGACATTAGCATTGTTTAATATTTAACTTAATGTATGCAGCTTTAAGGTTTCTTCCTGAAATTTGTCAGGATTGAAATTGAATTAATTTAATACAAAGTAGTTGGAGAAATTTTTCTTCGGAGTATAAATTTATAAAAGGGCCAACTATGCTAATTGTGAGATAATTGGTACAATTTTTCTTGTGCTACGCTTCCTAATGCCATGTGTGACTATATGTAAAAATTTCTAAGTATTCAAAGGGTTTATATTTCAGCAATAACACAATAAAATAAATTTGTGTTAATTAAGTCAGTTTATATCAAGTATCATAGTTTTAGTTTAATGGATTTATTTTCCAGGAACATCGGAATTAACTAAACAAGAGTTGATGCTAATGGAAGTCGAGGAACATAATCATCGTTTGGAAATATTAGAGCTTCAGGAAGCTTTCCAAATTGAAAGAATTGAAAAAATGCGATACTTACAAGATCTAAAAATTCAAAAGGCAGAACTGGATCTTCAGACTAGAAATAGTGAATAGAATATTGTTTTTAACCTGGTTTTGTTCTATATAAGTTTTGTTTTACATGACATATTGAAATTTTTATATTGTAAATACACGTTAATCAAATCTTGTTTTTATTTGTAAAATATCCTTTGTATGCAATAAAAATAAAATTTGAAATTAAAAATAAAATTTAAAAATACATTGTTCTTTCAAATAGTCTTAACATGTAATAACAGAGCATTTAGTCATTTTTATTCATAGCCTATTGTAATAAATGATTGTTCCTTATTCACAAAAGAAAAGAAAAAACGCTATTTAGAAAAAGTACGTTAACTGTATTGTTTAGACTCTGAATAATCTACAATTTTTATGGTTGTTCGAAAATGATTTGAAAGGTATAATTGTGATATATTAGCTGTTTTTAACAAATTATTAATTATATAATCATATCAAATAAAATTCTTAATGATGCAAAAAAAAATCTTAATGTGAATTAAGTCACTTATTTTTTTGTAGTTAGTTTATTACTCAGTAAAATATGAGTGGTATCGAAAATGTAACCTCATTACATCTTTTAGTATTATAATAAAAGAAATTGCCTTGCATTTTTAAAAATTTTAATAACAATACCATTTGATAATAAAAGTTATTATTTCATATATTATCTTATATCTTTGAATAAATGAATTCTATAAATACCTGTGAATTTTTTTTTATTTACACGCTTAGTTCCAAAGTGAAAACATAAAAAGTAAAATAACATTAAGAGCTGAAGTTTTTAATTTAACTGTCTTGTCTATTCAAAACTAAATTTTCCGCAAGAAACTTCTTAATGATCCTTTTGAATAATTGTGATTTATATTTAAATTTACGTGCAATTTTACCATTCATAAGAGTTTTCTGTAATTTATAAATTCTAACAGATCGTAAACCTAAAACAAAATTAATATCATAGCATAAAAAAAGTGTAAGGTTCGCTATGTTTTGAGTGTTCTCCCTTATTTGGCTATATTTGTTTAAAATTGCACCGTTCCTTATCTTTTGGGGGGTAGCGTCATAGCAAGCTTACGGATTCTTCCTAATTCAAGTGTTGTTTGTTTCACTGAAAGTTGGATTGAAAGAGTGCGTTATATTGAAAGCACTACTAGTATAATTATATTGGATGGTTCGTTTTTTCAAATTATATGTCGTAAAAATCAGTCGGAAGTAGTAACCGGGAAGTCTTACGGCCAATTTTAACCCCTAGCGACATCTGCGCTTAGCTTTACAAGGTCGACCATCCCTTCGTTTAAAAAGTTATCGAGATGTTGTGAAATACACAAAAAGTAATCTAACCAAACTATTGGGATTAACTTAGATTGTGTCTATGGCTACTCCTTATGTAATATATGTTTTGAGGGCAAGAAATCCATAAAAAAAAGGTATATGTTAATTCAGATAAGTATATTTTTGTGTCTGATTTCTTAACTTATATCGTCTGCACATTTGAATTTACCCTCTCGAATCATTAAGTTTCAGTCCTAATACCTGAAGATCTGATCATTAGGATCATAAATTATTCAGGTAGTTTTGTTTATTTGTTTGCCTACTGTACATAAATATTGCTTTTGCTCGGAAATCTATGAAAGAAGGTTCCTCAAAATTATAATTTATTGATGACTATTGTGGCTGTCGAAATGAGCTACAGGTGGCGTAGAGCAGAGTTGTTGTAGTTCATTTACGTCGCACTAGAGCTGCACAATGGGCTATTGGCGACGGTCTGGGAAACATCCCATCACAATTTTGATCCTCTGCAGAGGGGATGGCACCCCCGCTTCGGTAGCCCGACGACCTGCACGCGAAGTCGAGCACTTTACGGTAGAACAGTTTAACGAGGACCAATACCGCACACCCTCGGTCCCTACGCAGACTGATCCAAGTGGTCACCCACACTGACCGCAGTCAGTGATCCTTGACTTCGGTGATCTGTTGGGAGCCGTGTCTTAATGATCAGTCCACTGCGGGACGGCGTGGAGCAGAACTCACTACCTATGGCAACACTTTGCATGCTTTCATCATTAGTGTGTAGAGAGTTATGGAAGAAGGAAGTGTTTCGATGCAAACTTCTCAGCGTACGTTGAGCAGTTCGCATCGAAACACTTACAAATCCAGCAACTTCATTCATCGTATGACCATGGGCGAGGCCAAACGCAAATGCCCCTTTCTGCTACTCTATAACATCCTTACACTTATCTATATTTACACACAATTTCAGCTTTAAACAAAAATATCTCACTGATAGCTACTTGCCTTTGATCTCGTTGAAGTAGTGTGCACGCAGTTGAACACGTCACTTGAACACTGCGTCATCTAACGAAACCTAACGATTCAACAGTGCTAATTTTTGCAATAGGGTGACTAGAGTGCAATAGGGTGACTAATTTTTTGTCCGGTGAGCGTATTTTGTCTAAAATTGATTACATCAATAAGATCCTCACAATCACCCATGATAAGCATCCTCATGATCAATCAGTTCGCAGAACAGCCTCCTCCTGATCTCTTTGGTTGGCTCTGAAGAGATTCTCAGTACATATAAGTTGCAGTAAGAAGGCTCCATTAATTTGCCTTTGTGATCAGCTTTCGTACATTTAGTACAAAAATCTGAATTAGTTAGAATTCTCTATCAATATATCAATTGATTATTTCAATTGATATGATGTTGACGTTAGTCGCCTTTGTTACGGCTGCGTGAATATTATTTGTTTTCTAATAAGAAAATAGGATTTTGAAACCAATTAAAACTCATTTTTATGTAGTTTTAAAGCAGTTTAATGATATATATTTTAAAATAACTTTTATTGTAAATAACGCTTTTACGTACATGTTTAAAACTCGTTTCTTCAAGGAATAGTCGGTTACTTTTTTAAATCATGGATAGAAATGAAAGAACTGCTTCCCCGAATGTTAGGCAAAATGTCAGTTTTAAATTTACAAAAACTTCATCTTCAAAATCTTTGTCTGGTAATAAACTGGAAGAACCTGTTAAACCTAGAGACTATGTTAAATCTGTTGATGAGAGTGAAATTAAAAGGTAAAATAAATTTCATTGATCATATCCTAAGAATTATTCCGGAATATTTGTGTTCGTTACGGGGTATTTTACAGCTAAATTCTTAAATATTTTAATATTTCGCCCCGAGGTTACACAAATAAGAAAATTCTTAACTACTTTTAATACATTATGTCATAATTTAAGAAGTCCTTCTTATTATAAGAAATTCTTTTATTACATTATTCTAAAATACTAATTGAGCCTATTTTTTTATTAAACAATTATGTTATGTGACGCATGGGGCATTACGAGGCAATTATTGTAAAATAACTAGGAGTGCACAGCTTGAACTAGGCTCCTGAACATAATGAAAAAAATTATATAAAATACTCTTGAAAAAATAACCGGAAATATTGAATTACGCAGTTGAGTTTTTGGCACTCTAATTTTGTGCTGATTCAATCTTAAATTAATGTGGTCTCCCAATAATTTTTTTTCATTATCATTTCATTTTTTACATCATTTCACTTCATTTTTATCATTAGCGCTGTGCATTTCTACATAGTTTTAAAAATCTCACTATTTTTAATGCAGCAATAACACAATACGTGAATTTTAAATTTGTGTAGTAGCTTTTGACGTTAAATTTATGGTGACTTATTATATTCTATATAACTATTTATAAATCTTTATACATTATGCAAAATGCACTTATTAAATTAGTTGCTTCTGTGGTCTTTAATTTTAATACAGTGTGTTAGAACTTTATTTCTATATAAAAGATTTCTTTTCTATAAATTTGTAATTTTTTTTTAGTACTGCACCAGAATTGAAATCTCAAGAGCTAGTCATACCTCTTATAAGAAAGAATAATTGGAGAGTACCTGAAACTTCTCAACCAAAGGATGGTGAAGCTACACTTAATGAGCTTGCTCTTAAAGAGCTTCTTCAAGGTAATTAGTTGAACTTATTTATTATCATTCATATAACCGATGTGATATCTCACACTTTATAGATATTATTTTGTTTAACAAGGTGGATATATAGACATTTGAACTTAATACAGAGAGAAGTAAACACATATGATGAGAGCACTCTTTATTTTAAACTTCAATATCTTGTAGTGTTTAAATCAGTTTTTAAGGCTAAAAATCTTTTACCACGTACAGAAACAAACTATATCTTCTTGGAGCATCTTTTCTATTTGGAGTTACACGGGAGCAGACTTAGATGAAATTAAAAACTTTCTGCAAACAAAAAATCTCGATTGAAAAACTTCCAGCACGCATTTATGTAGCTAGTTTTTTAAAAATTTTTTTTTTTTTAGATTTTGTAGAACTTTATATTGATTTATACTGTAGGGATGAGTTTGATTAAAAAAAAAAAAAAAAAAGGCTGAAAATAGAAATTCAAAGTGGTGTGCAAAAATGCTTTTTAAATTATTGAAATTGCAATACCATGATATTTTTATTGTACTTACTTTTTGGGCTTTTTTCCCCATAAAAAAGTTGAGGTTTTTTTCTAAACCATAATCATCACAGTTCTACAGTTCATTGCAAATATATATATTTCTAAACAAATATACAGTTATATAAATTGATTTAAATATGTGCAAAATTTTCACCTATTCTCTCTCTCTCTCTTTATACATATAAGTTTTCAAATGCCATGTATAAACAATTGTATGAACCACATCAATTTCAATAGTTTTTCATTTCAATTGATGATTAGTCAAGTGTACGAATTTGAATTTTAAAAGCTGAATGGAAATGATAAAAATTTTAACTCATTTTGCCTTTAATTAAAAATCTTACTGTTAGACTTATTTATTACAAACCATGATTTAATCAGATTTAATTTTAGTCAGGAAATTTTCAATAGATTATTGGTTTTAATACTGAAAAAAAACCTATATAAAACCATGTTATCACAAGCAATACAACTTAAAAAGGAAAATTTCCTGAGCTTCTTAAAAATTATTTCATTGAAGCTGTCTAAAATATGTATCACACATTTGTAATGACCTACACAGGATATGAAAAAATATAATAAATTGTATATCTACTGTTATTCATGTTTCTGTATGTTCCTGACCAATTGTTTTCAAAACAGAAAATATGACAGAGGTAGAAAAAAAAGCAATCAGATAACATCTTAAAGCATACTGCAGGGTTGCCACAGGCTACTAAAATGCAACTATGTGCTACTATTTTCGGCTTTAGGCGACTTTTTTTGCCTGAAAAGGCTAAAAAAGCAACTATTTTCAGGAATAGGCGACTATTAGGAGACTTTTTTTACTCTTGGCAAAGTTTTTTCGTAAAAATGAAAGTTACTTTTCAGAACATTAACAAAAGAAAGCAAACTTTTATTACAATCATTTATGTCCTAAGAGCCAAAAATTTAAATTTCCATTGGATTTAATAAAGTACTTGTTATATTTTCTCTCTGGTTTTGTTACTTTTAATTGTTTTTTCCTTCTATTAACATTCATATTTTATTGCAATACGACTTTTATTTAGGTACCTATTTTCTAATATGTATACCTTTTATATTTGTACAAAACTTTTTTTTTAATTGGAGCATAGTTAGGACTGGGCGATAAATCAATGTATCGCGAAAAATCGATTTAACGCATATATCAGTAGGCCGATGTAGTGACTTTCGTTTTAGGCGATGCATCAGAAATCTGATTTAAGCTGCCGGAATAAGATTACAATTGCGGTTTAACGATTTAGTATGCAAGGATCCTTGACCAGGCTACCGCTGTTACCGCAATAATGAAGACGATTTTGATTTCGTCTAGCTGCAGAGATGTAGATAGCGTTTTGCTATTAACATGATGTTAGTTTCGTGATGTTGAATGACGAAGAGATATAGAACGCAATGCATAGTTTCTTTATGTCCATTTTTGTCTTTGGGATTTTGCGTTTTTTGAAGATTATTTTCAATGGGACTTAAGTCATTTTGCGATCATTGTGCATTTTATTTCGTCAGAAGTAATTGTCTGGTTTCTTGTAAATTATTTTCAGTGAGACTTTTGCAGCGATCGTTTCGTTCTGCATTATTTCATAATGATTCTTGTCAATTATTTTTAATAGACCTACTGTTACTTTGCGATTGCTGCACAATCGCTGTTATCTTAAATTTTCGTTCTGAACTCAATAGATCAAGTCATTGATTTTTTTCAATTATTGTTTATTTTAAGCGATACAATTTAATAGGGGTATTTTGTATTTAACTTTGTTATAAAAAGTTAGTTTATTTAAATTTATTAAATGTAGGTAAGTATAATAATTTGATTGTTTTTCAACCAATAAATGCTCAGTCGTTTTTAATTATAAAAAAATTAAAACAAAGCTTACCTTTATTTAATTTGCTTTTATTTTTGAGAAAGTGAAAACAAAGTTTTAAAAAAATTTGGCTATTAGTTAAAACAATTTGTTTTTAAAATTAAATAAAAAGTTTAGTAATGTTTTGAGGTTTTTAATAATTTAACATTAGTACTTAAAGTATTTTTTTTAAATTTTAATTAAAATTCTTTCAATACTTGTTTGTTTTATAATTTGTTAGATAGTCAGTATCATTTTTAAACAAATAAATCTTTAGTCGATTTTATTTTCAAGAATGAAAATAATAATAAATAAGTAAAAATATTTTTACATTTATTAAGTACAGAATTTGACCATTAGTTAATACTACTTTTTATTATTTTAAATAAGTAAATAAAAGGTCTAATGATGTTTCAAAAGCATGTTTTTTTTAAGCAAATAATAATAAAAAAAAATTCTAAAGTAGGGGTGCACAACCTGCTACCCGCGGGCCAAATGCGGCCCTTCGACTGCTGAAATGCGGCACGCGAGAGCTTCTAAACACAATAAATTTTTTTAAAAAAATGGCAATTTTTAATCGCATTTTTAAGTCATCACGTTTTGACGCAATCAATTTTAACAGATTCTTTAGTAAATGTACGTTTAAGCCAATTTTATCGCAAATATAAATGATTTTTTTTTTTTTAAACAGTTATTTCCGCTTTTCTGCGTGATTTCGAAAACCCGGAATTTTTATTACGACACGAGTTTCAGATCGCAAATTTAAATAATCACTTTTTGTGCACTTTATTTGTGACGATTTCATCTTAAATCTAAGTGATTTTTTATCTTTTTTTTGCAATTCTTTCAACAATTTTCAACAATTTTTTTCGGCAGTTATTGCTATGCCTTCCCACGCATTATAAAAAATTCCAATTTTTCTATTACGACATACAAATTTTAAATCATGCATTTGACACGCTTTATTCGTGTTGAGTTCAGCATAAATATATTTTTTCCCAATTATTTCTATACTTTTCCACGTGATTTTGATGATCCTGTTATTTAACTAGATGTTATTACGACACGTGATTGTTAATCATGCAATTAAATAATCCCTTTTTGATACGTTATTTCAGTACAGTTTTATCGTAAATCCTAGCTACTTTTCTTTCGTTTTTATTTCCTCAACGTTTTTATTTCCGCAACAAATATGATTTGGTCGAATGTGGTAATGAATTGTGATTTGATCAAAAACCAAATATTCGACAGAAAAAAGAAGAAAAAATCGACTGAACGCCGTACACTTGGGGCCCAATAGCAAAATCTTTTAGCAGCATAGCAACACTGAAACTAAAATTTCAATGCTCAGAATAATATTTCCTGGAAAAACGCATTCATAAATTAACTCTAAAAAATAAGGCCAATCAAGAACATTTTTGAAAATGTTGAAAAGCGAAACAGAAAACATAAAAATCAATCTTAATTTTTGGAAAAAAATTTTAAAGCTGAACATCTCAGATTTACAATTACCAGAAAAAGCAAAGAAAAAGGAATTAAGTCAACAGAAATGCTATTATTAAAAATTACTGCGTTATAAGGAAAATGTCTAAAAAAAGTTTTTTTTTTAAAATCTTATGCCGAAAATCTCAATTAAAATTTTTCTCATTGCCATAATTTTAGAAGAAAAAAACTTGCTATAAAATAAATTTTGTTAGTAACTTTATTTTTAAAAAAAAATGCTGAGTCATAATGAAAATACCTAAAAAAAGAAAAACAGAAAAAACAAATTTTTCTTACTTCCTGAAACAAAACTTTAATACTGAAAATCACATTTTTCTATGTTACTGGTTATTTATATTACAGTACAGGGAAAGACTGATAATAAATTAATAGTATGAGACTTTCTGTTAAAATGCTGGGTTATAATGAAAACAGCAAAAAATGGACAAAAATCCTTCTCAATTCTCAAAGTAACGAAAAAATGACAAAATTGACTTGTCTGATTATAATTTTAAAAAAAAAGTAATACCTATAAAAATTCAAAAATAAAAAAAACTCGCAAAAATACCTTTCTAAAAAATATTCTGCCGAATATTTGATTGATCATTGAACGAACATTTGATTGATCATCAACCAACTGAATTTTTCACAGAAGGGCCAAATACTCGTTACATTCCTCCCTAATTTAAATGCAATGTTATTGAAACTTGAGAAATTCATAAAATGACAGGAAAACTTGAATTTTTAAACTGCTCACTGTTTGTAGTTTAGATTTCAATTTTTTCTTGCTTAAGTGATCTTTTGCGATAAAAAAAGAAAATGTTTACGATATAAAAAAATCTAATAATTAATAAAATAATAAAGTACATTACAAAATAAGCATTGAATTTTATTTTGAACTATCACAGTTTTGTTTTTATTTTAGGCTTTTGTTTAAAACCTATACATTTTCTTCAATTAAAATATTTAATTTGAATTTATATTACTTAATTATGAATAAACTTTTTCCTACTTTCATTCTGTGTCATTGCAATTTTTTCATTTATTAGAATTTAATTCTAAAATGAATTTGCGTATTGCATGATATGAAAAAAAAAAAAACATTTCTTTTCCTCAATGTTTATTTATTTTGATAAATCTATAATTCATATGATAAAAATAGCAAGTTTTTTTATTTTTGAATGAATTCAAATAATGGAACACTACTAAGTTATTGATATTACTAAGTTTATTGTTAAAGAAAATGGAACATTAATGTTTAAATAAACATTACTACATTTGTCATTAACATGTCTAAATACATCTGCAGCCCTTCGTTAGCCAACCTGCTGTGCAAGTGGCCCTTCACTCAAAAAGGTTGTGCACCCCTATTCTAAAGTGAATATTTTTTTGGTTTCTTTTCCCCTTCCGTTTTTTTTTTTTTTTTTTACTTTTAATTTTTAATGCATGTATGTAAAATAATTTGTTACAGTATTATTATTTTTAAACCAATAAATCTTAAATCATTTTTAATTTAAGAAAAATGAAATAAAGCTTGGGTTTGCTTTTACTTTGACTTTATTAATTTAATTGAAAAAATTAAGCAATGATATTGATGTCATTGTAGAATATGTTTAGAATTAATATTTTCTTTTGTAATAGATTTATTCCTTTTTATTTATTTTTGATTGATTTAAAGATCTCCCATAGGTAATTTTTGAACATATGCTAAATTGCGATACATTACTATATTGTGATGTCTAACCGACGATGTATCACGATTTAAAATTTATGACATCACCCATTCCTAATAATAGTATTTGACAATTAAGCTATAATTTTAGTTATTTGGCTACTATTTTTGATAAATTTTTGTTCCTGTTCAGGCAACTATTTTCATAGTTTGAGGCGACTGTTTTCATGCTTGAGGCTACTAAAAGCAACTATTTTTGTTCATTTTTTGCTGTGGCAACCCTGATACTGTTTGCTTTTACGAAATCAGTAGGCGCTAATGATAATTTTTTTCATGCCACGAGAATTGTTTGTGTCACAATTGCAGAAGTTCAATTCTAAAAATAACTCAAACATTACTCTTGTCATAGTAAATAAAAAAAATTGTAAATAGTTAACTATTTCTTTTCAGGTTAATTCTTCAGGTTAATTTTTGTATATTAAAGCTTTAAAGTTTTAGTTTTGTAAGTTACTTATAAAAATCAAATTACAATAATTAAGAATAAATTTTACTTCTAATTTTCATAAAAAGTAAACTCTTAAGTTTGTAATATACACCCTTTTTGTAATATTATCCCTTTCAGAAACTGCAGATAAAAAAGCGGATTGGAATAACAGAGACACAACTATGGCGATTCCTCTTATGATGCAAAATAAAGTCCCCGAGGGCTTTGAAACAGATGATAAGCTAGATGTTTCCCTCAGAGCCCAAGAATCAACTTTAGAAGACTATGAAAAAGTGCCCGTAGAACAATTTGGTTTAGCTATGCTGAGAGGAATGGGCTGGAAGGAAGGAATGGCTATTGGAGCCAGAAATAAAGAGTAATGTTTTTGTTTTTTTTTCTTTACTTAATTCTTTGCCCTTTACTTATAATTTTAACTTATAAATATTTAAAAACTTTGGCGATTTAAATTTATTTCTGAGTACAAAATAATAATTTTACGATTGTAATTTATAGTTGATATTATATATTGCTTTATAATGCAATATTATCTCAGAAATCTAGATTTTCAAAAATCTTAAAACCTCCAAAATCAGAGCAAAAATTTCATTTTGTGGCTTGAGAAAACTTCATTAAATCCTTTAGGGACAAAATAACTACTGTAAATATTACGAAGTACTCTGGTATATGGACAAAAATTTTATTTTGTTTAGAAAAAAAATTCATTAAATCATTTAATATAAAGGCAAAATACAGAGAATCTCATTATCTAATAATTACATTAAAATAAGTCAAATTTAAAAATTATGGAGAAACTTGTAGCAATAAATGCTGGAAAAGCAATCAGGTGACCATTGGGGGGGGGATTGCTCATCAGCTCAACTATAAATATGCTTCTTGTAATGTAGTATTAAAATATTAAGACTTAGAAAATCATATGGAAATTTCTAAGAAGCAAGGAAAACTAATAGAATTTTTTTAGACCTAAGGATTAATTCCGCAATGCTGAGCTAGTAGAACACTCTCCAAATAACTTCAAGTGTATCTTTTCAACTTCACTGTAAGCTTTTCAAGCAATCCAGCTTATAATTTCAACTTGACGTTATAAATTTTTTTCTGGTAAAAATCTTTTTGTTATATTTAATTTTAATTTCTTTAGAAAAATAAGCTATAGCACTTACTATTAAAAATTTTAACAAATATTGCATTCATAATTTTCAAAAACTTAAAACTGTTCTTATTGCTTTGATCAAACCAGTATACCTAAATTACTCCTATCAAATTCCAAATTTTTCTAATTCATATGAGTTTTAATTTCATTGGAAAAATTATACTTATATAAGATTTTAACTAAATATCTTATATAACTTTAAATCGTTCATTTATATAAAAAGGAAGAAAAATAATATCTCTAAATTATATCTGTCTGTAAAATATATCTGTAAAAATCTCTGTATTCTAATCATTCAGAGTGCACTCCGAACTAGTAACCCACTATCGCAGATCTCGCCTAATTTCTATTCTCTTTATTGAAGAAAATTTCCCAACTATGTATTTTATTTTAAATTAAATTAGGGAAGAATCATTATAATTGTATATATTAATCATATTAATTATTAAAAGTCATATAAATATATTTCCATTTTAGGTGTGTTAAACCTATTGAAGTAAAATTGAGACCAAAGGGGTTAGGTCTTGGAGCTGATGCATCAGTCTTGAAAAAAAATGAAAAGAAAGCAAAAGAAGAAAAGCTGGAATTAATAAAAGGTGCATTTGTACAGATCATCCAAGGACCTCATAAAGGTCATTATGGACAGGTACTGTATGGAGATACTTTAATTATTAATTTGATGAAATGATAGAAAATTAAACTAATTTGAATTAAATCCATAGTAAATGAGATAAATTTAATTTCTTAATCTATTAGTGCTGAGTTTTAATTTTGTAATAATTTTTTTTTTTACTACAAAATATTAAGAACTATCAAAATTTAATACTTGAGATAACCAAAAAAAGTTTTTATAATTGTATGTTTTTCTGGACTTAGAAGTTTTCTGCACACATCACTCAACCATAGCCATGCCCCTACTCTTATATTTATAGATTATAATGGCAATAGTAAGAAGGCCACATAATTTTGACCGTGATCTGAATGCAAATTGTTTGATTTATTAATTTGACCTAGAATTTTTCTTCTGTTCTCACATCACCCTACTAGAGACGTGCACCTATTCCCATTTTTAGGGATCTATCTTTTAATTGCTATAATGGGCTTTTGCCATGTAGTTTTGACCCTGATCGAATGACATGAATGATGCTTAAGCTGGTACCCTTCCTCTCTTCAAATTTGAATACCTCAACCAATGAGTTGACTTTCAGTCTCAACAGATTTAATGTGCACCTTATTGCATATGCATGAAAGCTGTTTTGTAAGCTGTCAGGATCAAATTTACTATCCTGGGCTTTCCAACTAGCGGTCTGAACAATGTCTTAACTGACTGCACCTCTGGTCATTATGAAAAACAGTTTTTGAGTTGGTCTGAATAAAAAGCTTCATTATCAACCCAACCAAGTTCTTGATACACACTTTCCTTTTTAAAATTAAAAAACAAAACTTAAATAGTATGTATGATAATTTTCTGTGCAAGTCATTCACTGTATTGATTTGAAGCTTCCCTAAAAAAGGCTGTATATGCTGTGTTTTAGTTAAGTTGTTAAAGCAATTATTGCAATCTATAAATTTCTTATTACAAAAGTATTGAGAGACTTCATTATAAACCAAATGCTTGATACTTGCTCTCATTGATAAAGTATAATGAAAAAGAACTTTTATTTAATGGTGTAGAAAAACTTAATATAGTTTCTTTCTACGTTACTTCTTGGATTTGTGGCTATTAGCTGCTTATCAGATTTCTGTATAATCTGTGGTAGAGCTGTGCTACTACAAAAGTGCTTAAGTATGTTTACTTTCCTTATTGTTTTATTTTAAAAAATGAATGTAATTATACATCTATTCACTATTTGTTTTAATCAATTTAGGTTTCCCTGTAGGCTTGTAAATTTATGCTTGAAGTTATTTTTATTTTGGAATATATTTCACAAACACAATTAACTTTTGGGTCATTATAAACAAGTATTTTTATAATTCATACCAGTTCTTATTTTAAATTATATTGTGTGCGCATTCTATTTTTAGCTATTTATTTTCCATTTTATATTCTTTTTGTTAGGTCATGGGTTTAGATGAAGAAACTGGTCGTGCTATGATCAAGCTGAGCAATGAAGAGGCAGTGAAGAGCCTTCCTGAATTCTTTTTTAACCTTGTAAGTAAAAAAGAATTTGATAAAGAAAGCCGAATCATAAGTAAGTTCTGTATTTGCTGATCTTCAATAACTTTTTGGCACTGTCAAATGCTTCTGAACTAAATTATCAATATTTAAAACTAAGCTGAAGTTAAACTTTAAATTATATTCTTTCAGATAGAGAATCCTATGAGAAATATAAAATGAAAGAGGAAGAAGAAAATAAGGAAAAGCAAAAATATAATTCCTCTGATTCTAGGAGTAATGGAAGAGAAGATCAGGACTCTTATGAGTATGAATCGAAGAAGAGTAAAAAGCATTCAAAGAAACGTAAACATAGTAGAGAAAGAAGGTGTGTATTTTTTTCATTAGTTATTGAATTAGTGTGTATTTTTCTCATTAGTTATTGATATTATTACTTGTTGATCAATATTTTTACTCGAGATAAATTTTACACATGAGAAAGTGCCTGAAAATTATACCAAATGTGGTAAAGACTTTCTGAAATTCTAGTATCTGATTTATATCTCTTGTATTAGTATCTGATTTGCATCATCACGTACATTCCTCAAAGTGTTTGGGTTAGTTAAAAAAAAATTTTGAGTAGGGGGAAGGAAAAAAAAGTAACATTTTTAGAGATGATTGTGCTTTGGAAAAGGTACAGATTTCCAGATTTTTCGCTAACCGCGATCAGGAAATCAGGAAATTTCTAGAAATCTTAGATCCAGAAGTTTCAAGAAATCATCGATCACATTTATGTTTAAAAATTCGTGTATATTTTATTTAAAAATATTAGAACTAGAATTTATGCATATAATTTATTTAGAATTTCATGTTGTGAAAATATCAATAATTTAAATTTTATAATTAATATTTAATTAATATTATAATTTTAAAATTAAATAATTTAAATAAAATTTTTGAAATTTTGTCATTAATGGTTTTACTCAAGAAATTTTCAGGATTTTTGAGTTCGACTCACAATTATCGAATCTGATAAATGTCAAAATAGGTTAATTCTAGAATTAAAATCAAAAAAGGAAAAGAAATATGTTTCTCAGAACTAGGTATGAAATTTCCTAGGACTACTATGAGAAGTTGAATTATTGCTAAAAATCTTTTTAATATGAGAAAGAGGTCATTGTGATGTGATGTGATCTGACCTGAAAAATTCTGTAGGACAAGTGTAATTAATTTATCACCCAAGTCTCCTGGAAAGTGTATCATAAAATATTTTTTATTGCTATTATCGATAGTTTAATTAATGTTGATTTGTTAGTCTAATTCTTTGAGTTCTTATGAGTTTTATTTTTTTATTCCAAGCTATATTTAATATTTCTGGTGTTAAAGTAAAGAAAAAGAATGTGAATTAAAGGACAAATAATGACACAGAATGAACATCGAAAGCAAAAAGAATTGTGAAAAAGAAAATTTTTGGACCATTATTTGTGCTTTATTTCACGTTTTGCTGTATTCATATGTAGCACAAAATATAACCACTTTTCTAACTGAATGATAAAGGTTTCAATTTTGTATAGTTTATGTTTAGGATAAAAATTTCCAGATTATGTGATAAATTTGCGTTATCTGAAAATATGAAGCAATAAAGTCGTATTGCTCTCTATTTTCAGATTACAGTCAATCCTTTTGATGTTTATTATGAATTAATTTTAATAGGTTGTGAAAATGCTCATCAAATTATTGCTTTCTTTCACTTGGTTCTATAGTTGTAATGTACATTAAAAGTTAGTCATTTTGGATTGCTTTCATAATTTTTTTTATTTTCTTTAATAATAATAAAACATTATAATTCTTAAAAATCACAATTTTATGATAATTCAAATTTAGGGACTTTTCTCTAATTACTTGTCTTTCAGATTGATAATCTTGTTTTAATCTTTTGATGCAGTCTCAGTATTTTTGCTGTAGAATTTTTTTTTACTAAATATGCCTGATTGCTAATTGAAAAATGGTGTTAAAGAGAAACTTTTAAACATTTTTGAGTTGTAAATTTTTCACCTGTTCATGGAATTATAGTGACAGTATTGTTTTTCATTTCTTATACATTTCAATTGTATGAAATCGAAAGTATTTTTAAATTACTATTTAATTAAGTGATGTTTTTTTTTTTAATTATTTTGATATTCGTTTTCAGCTTGCAGTGTATTATGTTTACTTATCCTTTATATATTTTGTATACATTTATTTTTTAGTATAGAGATTATATACAATTTAGTTTTTGAGTAATATATTGTTGTATGAAAAAACTGTAGTAATCAATTTCTTTTAAATTTATTTCGATTTATATTTGGATCAAGGAATCTATTTCTGAATTCAAAAAAATTCCAAGTTTTGTGGTTTCTCACTATATGTACGCTGACCCGAAATTGCACCTTTTTTAAAATCATTATTGATCTTCTAGTTCTCATCTGAATTTTTTATTTGAAAACATTCAGAGTTTCCCTTTTTTTTAATGGTTAGTTTAAAAGAATGTGCTGCACGAAACAAAAATTTCAAAGCAGTGGATTACACTAGATTTTCAGCCTCATCTCTGAAAGTAGTGAGATCATTTGTTATAATTTTATTTCTTTAGCACTCGTTATAAATCTTCAGGATGTTATCTTGCATTTTTGCCTAGATTTGGATTTTCGTTTGAAAATATAACAATCTGCATTTAGTTTTTTATTCTCCTTTTAAAATTTGAGCTTACACACTTTTATTTTAAAAATTTCAACTTTGAGAGTTTTTGCAACTCTTACCCCTGTGTTGTTATTTTATCCAAGCTCTTCAAGTTTTGCACTTAGTGACTGTTATTAATTATTGTTTTTAGAAAAAAACATGTTTTGTTCAAAATTTGGTAGCTGTTTAATGATTTTTTTTTAAATTTTTATAGTAGAGTTTTGAATAAATAAAGTTAACATGTTGATGTTCCTTATCTTTCGCAATTGACTTTAGATAAATGGGTACAAATATATAATAAAACATATCTTTTCAGATTATTTTAATTATTATTGTTTTACATTTTGTAAACATTACAGTATTGTGTAATAGGTACTATGTATAAACAGTGCAGTTTTTAGAGAGATTTCATCTAATTAAAAAAAAGGGAAATATAATTTAATGATCATTAAGTAAAAAAAATCTGTTATACCCAAAGATACACTTTCTTATTAAAGCTGATATCTAGCTTAAAAAACAAATTTTGCTATTTATTTGAGCTTTTTGGGTATTTTTAATGTTCTTGTATATTTTTCAAATTTTATTTACGTCGAAAACCTTTTGATTTTACTTTAGAAATAATGTTTTTGTCATTCTTTTTAGTGAAGAAAATGAATCATCAAGTAAAGCAAAGTCAAAAATTTGGATTAGACCACAGCTAAAAGTTCGTTTCATTGATGAAAAATATAAAAAAGGGAAATATTTCAATAAAAAAGTTAGTTGCATTTCTAAATTATTTTTTTTTTACTTTTCATTTGTTGCTCTTTATTCTTTTGGTAAAAATTCTTGTAAATTTAAAATAGCATTGTTGTTTTTAGTTGATTGTTGTTGATGTTATATCATCTAATCGTTGTTCATTGAAGACAGAAGATGATAGAACTCTTCTTGATGGTATGCATAATGCTTACAAATTTTCAATTGCTTAGTTGTGTACAATTAATTAAGGCAATAACTTTGTAATAAATAGATAACTGTTATATACAATTTGTTAATCAAATTTGTGTTCCCTTTTTAATTTAATTTGTGTCTTGGGCATTATTCAACTTTGCTAAATAAATTTGATTCTGGAATTTGTGCAATTGAAAGATAATTTGTTGATAAAAATAATAATTGAACGGTTTGAATTTTTTCAAATTTGTGTGTCAAATAAAATAGTACTTTTTCATACTAGTATTTTCAAATTGTTAGATTAAAAATATTTTGTTGCAGGGTATTTATAAGACCAAAGATTGAGAAGATTTAATTTTTAACTGTAAGAGTTGGAGAAATCAATCACATCGCTGCTTACTTCTCTTCTGTCAAAATTGTTAAAACTTATGACTCAATATCTCTAGTTTTTTTCCTATTACCTGACATTTGTGCAAGCTTCGTATTTGACTGAAAAATTGCCTGTGTTGCTATTTTTTATGAATAGTCATTGATTAAGGAAATGAATTTGAGTAACATTTAATTAAAGGTGTATGGTGCAAAAAATATACAATTTTCATTTCTGAAAAGCATAAAAAAAACTTTATTTAACACAGCACCAAAGTGTATTCAATCAGATAGCATAAAAAATTCATTATAAGCAGAACTGTATTTATATCAGAATGGTGCTTTTTTAGGTATCAGTTCATTCTATTTGTGTCAATATCAACTCCTAAAATCATTTTAAAAAAAAAAGAACTAGTTTTATAGATTCTCATGAATTTAAGAAAGAGTTAGTAGTAGGTCCACAAATTATCTGCTACTTTTTATTAAGTCCATAAAATAGCTGTGACTCATAACTTATAACGGATTTGAGTTGAATTTATTACTGGTTCATATATTTGATAAATGATTGATAAATTATGCAAACTTTTTTTGTGTTGCCATCTAGATGTTAAATTTTAAGATAATTTTCAATTTTAAAAGTTTTACTAAACTTAATATTTAAAAATTTTATTGATATTAAATGTATTTGTTAATTTCATGGTGTTAATTTTTAATTTCAATTTCATTTGGTGCTTTTAAGTACTAAGTAGCAAGTTCAAAATATCTGATGGATTGATGCAAACCTATCTCTGTACTTTTTAGGCATTAAAAAGTTAACAAAAATATCTTCTTTAGTAAGTGATGCTCCCCGTGGCAGAAACATGGCGATACAGTGACATTGTCGCAGAAAGCGACTGAGTTCTTGCAGAAAGATTTTTTTTATTTGGGAAATAAAAATTTTTGGTTTGCCACAAACAAAAGTTCTCAAAATAAATTCTGCAGAAACAGAAGCTGTTTTACCAAAAAAAAAACATTTTCTTCAGAAACAAAAAATTTCTGCAGAAGCAATAATGGTTCTGCAAAATTTTTTTCTTACAGAATTGTTTTAAATATTTTTTTTCCTAGCGTACCACGGAAGGAGAAAGCGCTCGTAATTCTCCGTTAATCTCCAACATAAACAGTTACTGGATAAAAAGGGGAGAATTTTTTTCCCCTTTATTAAGTTATTTTTGGAAATTTGCCAACTTCGGCCTCTATCGCTGGTGCAGTAATTTGCTTTGTGTTTTTTTTATGAGAACAGAGCATTTTATATTTTTTGCACTTATGTGGAAAATTTCATGTGTAAAAAGATTCTTTTTTTAAAAAAATCATGTCTAGCGAAAAGGTTATTTGTTGCAATTGTGAAGCCACAATAGTTAAAACAAATTTGAAAACTGATTTATCAAGGCGGCATTCCGAAAAAGAAATAAGATGGAAGTCGACAACATCTAAAAATGCCTATATGCTTTGAATTAAATCGTCGATAGAAAATAAAAAAAAAAAAAAAAAACGCAATCTAACGATAAATGAAATAAAGCCTGAAAGATATCTCACTATCTACGATTTTTTAGCATGCGAATGAAAACCAGATTGGTGAAAAATATTTACTGGTCACTTTCAAACAGGTTTCCATACGCATGCGAAAAAAATCGCATCCAATGAATATGGCTCTAATACCGATGTTTCAGTACTGATAAAGACTATTTCGTTTCGAGATGTTGAATAGACTTGAGCATATTGAGTCGGAAACTGCTTCTGCATACTTCGTGTGGAATCAGTGCTATATATTTACACAATACAGTGCGAAATCACAAGCGCTGTGTATTTTTTTCGTTCTGAACTTAATCTGATCACGAAAAAAGTTTTATTTACCTCCTTTTTTAAAAAAAAAAATCTTTCAATAAGTCAGTACAATATTAATCGAATCTAATTAATTAGATAAAATTAATTAGATGTAGAAAAAATTGAAACAAACATTGCTTTAATTTTTTTGCTTTTAGAATTCGGTTATAGTCAATACTATTTTATTATTTTGATTACTCAACTTCAATATTAATTTTTTCACCTGATTTGTTTCTGTACCTGATATAACTACTATAGTGAAACATTAAATCATACTGTTTTAAACTGATACTTCAAATTCAGTTATCTTGTTTTATAAATTTAATCTTTTTGTCCATTCTTAGCTATTTCTATAAGTTCTATCTTATTACAGGTTCTGGGTAATCTTTATTTATGCTCTAGTAAGCATTTTTGTCTGCAGATCTATACATTTATAACTTTTCGTTATTATCGAAGATTATGCAAATTTATACTTAAACAATTTAAACTTATTAAGAAATGTAAACTTATATTATGAAATTAAAAAAAAAAATCTACACAGTTTTATTCTATGCATGTAGACTTATTTTATAAACACGAATTTCATCTATTATTATAAATTCATTACACATACATTTATAACGATAAAAATATCTTGCAGAAAGATATTGGTTCTAATTAGGTTTGTCGCAGAAAGTCAGAAAAAATTCTGCCACAGGGGTGATGCTTTTTCCTCAGACATTTAACTTATATTTTCATTCATAATGAATTTTAGTGTATTCTTATTACTATAAACGATTGTTTTCACTTATTACATTTGTCAATACATGTGTGATATTTTATAAGCATTTTTTTAATAAATTTATTAATTTTCTTTATTCACATTTTAAGGCATATCTGTTTACTTCATACATATTTTTTATAGATATATCTCCTTCAATGTTAGAAACTGTTATACCCAGAGATGAATCAGCATATGTTATGATTGTTCATGGAAAGCATCAAGGAGAAGTAAGTTATTTGCTTAGGGTTACCAGTCAATTCATTTTATTTTGCATACGATATTCAAAACATCTGTGTGTTACTAAACTAAAATTTGAATGTTATTAACATAGTTATCAATCAGAGGTAAAGATAAATTTCTTATGTATAATTTAAATGTGATTATTTGAAATATTTGTTTAAAATTAATCATAACTGATATTTGTTTAAAATTAATCATGAATGCACAAAATACAGATGAAATGGGTTGTTTTTCGAAATAAGTGATAGCTCAGTGTTGCAATAACTTGTTCAGAAAAGGGGGAAGTTAAAAGCAAAAAGACTAAGGCTTACTGCAGGGGTAGTAAGTAAAAAGAAAGAAAAAGTGCACGATAGATTAAAATAACACATTTTTTCTGTAGGAATCCAGCAATTAAATTTATGTTGAAGATTTTCCCACAAATAATGTATCCATAAATGCAAGATAGGGATAGGGCAGCTTGGGGTTTTCTTTTAGAAGTTTAAATCTATCACCAATGCTTTGAGCGGGTGCATTTAATAAGAAAAAAAAGGCAATAAAAAATATTGCTTTAAAATCCACATAAGATCACCTCCCCATCTCTGACAAAAAATATTTTGGCTCAATGATTGTTTATCTGCATTTTCTTGAAGAAACACCAGCACAATGATAACCATCCTGGAGTTCATCTACTCAAGCTAAGCTTCTCGGTGTTTATATATTAAGTGGCGAAACAACACAAACAAAATTATAAGATTACCCCCACAAGATAGTGTCCTACTAGACATAGAAAAAATAGTGAAATGTTTGCAAAATCTTGCACTTTAAGGTTCTTAAGCACCTAAAATTAACCTTCTGATTTTTTATTTTATTTTTAAAGTCACTGTTATAAGTAACACACATTTTTTTAAAGGATGTGTGTTACTTATAACTTACTCCTACTACATTAAAGCAACTTGACTATAGTTGTCTTAGCCAGTGCACTCATTCTTATGGGTGATCTTGAGATAAACTCAACAGTGAGAGAGACCCAGATACAATAAATCTTAAGTGTTTTATTCATTCATAAGTGTTTTAGTCATAAACAGTGTTTTAGACATAAGTGATTAAGTGTTTTATTCTCATATTTGCTGACAAATGGACCTTAGTAATATTTATATAAAATGCTAAAGTTCATTTAATACCGAAAATTCTTTGTCAGAGAAAAATCTGAAGAGTGAAGTTACACCATAATCATCAAAATTATAATTGTGTAATATTTACACGACTTCAAATCTATCAAATTTTTCTCAGGTTTGTTGTTACAGGTTGTGATTTACTACTTTTCTCTTTGTTTCCTTCTCAAAAAAAAATCAACAATATGATAGGTTTGAACAGTAAATTGCACATAATAACAATTTAATCTTCTTATCACGGTTTAATCTATATGAAACAAATATCCATTTAAAAAAAATTTATAAAAGAAACACTGTATTAACCTCCTCAATAATTTACTTTGCTCATTTTGTAAAATAACTTTTTCTAATAATGAGTGTTTATCTGTAATGCAATGTTTTTTTTTCCCCACAGCTATGTACTATATTGAAACGAGATAAAGCAAATTGTATGGCTACTGTTCAATTTCTCTCAGACAGGGATCGAGCTTTGAAAATTGACTATGACTCTATTTGTGAATATGTTGGTGATGTTGCTCAGTATGATTAGTGCTGTTTGGTCACAGTAAAATTATAAAACACTGCACATTTTTGATGGATTTTAGTTCAAACCATGTAAATAACTTGTTCCTCCTGGAACAAAGGCGTTTTATCTGTACAGTTTTGTTAAAGGAAATGTGGATATTTATTAAATAAATTTGTTTTATTTTACTTATCTTCTGATGTCCAATTATTTATGTCTATATATTTATTCGTTTATTCTGTGTGAATTTCAGGTAATAAAGGTTTTTAAAATGTTTCATCATTATTCCTAAATTTTGCTTAGGGGAATATAAATATATTTTAAAAATATCACAAAGTGAATTATATAAGTTTTTTTAATACTGTCATAATTTACATTTTAGTAATTATTTTTTTCCCTCCATATTTTAATAAAATGGCAGCATTCTCGTTTAAAAGCCTTTTTAATTTATGTTTAGCTTTTCATGAAATCTATGTGAAGAATTAAAATATGTAGAAAAAATGTGAGAATAGCAGTTGATTTCTTGAAACTGTTTCAAAATGGAATTTCCAATATACTAAGTTTACATTGAAGCAAGAAAAAAAAATTTCTAAATTTTAATTTGATAAGGGAAGCCTTGTTTTTGTTATTTTAATATATTTTACTATGTATATAGCAGCTTTTAGAGTAGCAGTTTTGTATTGATACTGTTGAATAGAACACAAAATATCATTCTTTATATTCTGTAATTTTAGCATGAAATTTTTCAATAAAGCTTTTACTTCCTATATTTCAGTTAATAATTATGCAGAAGCTTATTTAAGGCTATTTTGACTCGATATAAAATGTAGTCAGGACCATAAAAAAATTTTTATATCTTAACCAAAATATGTTTGAGTTCTAAGTTATTAAATTTGAATTTAAATAAAATTTGTTACACCAAAAAGACCTTGTCTTATATTTTTGTTAACTGTAAAAAAGTACACATTTCATTTAAAAATTTGTTCAATAAAATAAACAATAAATAGCAATTTCTTAATTGGATATGCAAGTTTCAAAGATGTTCAAAGATTATTAATTTTTATTAAATTTTAATATTATATTAATAAGATCTTAAGTTCTTTCTCAGAACTATCATTAATTAGAATTTGGTGTTTACTGTTTAGTTATTTAGCTATAGTTTCAAATTTAGTTTTTAAAAATTTTTTTATGTTATTTCAATTTTTTAATTGGTAGATGAAATTTTCATTTTGTTCTTGAAACATAACCATTTTATTTGAGTGGTACAATTGCAGTCTTAACCCTTTTACATCAGTCAATAGCACAAATCTAGATTGTTGTCTATTTAGTGGATAGATGTTAAAATAATGTTTATAAAATTAAAAAATTATATGATTATAAAAATTAAAATTATTAATTTTATTATTAAATTCCAGCGATTTTAATCTTTAATGACAAAATAATTTTTTTCTTCCCTTTTTTCCCCTTTGTAGTCAGGGCCCGACTTAGCCTAATTGGGGCCCCAGGGCAAAAACTTCTTTGGGGGGCCCCCTCAGCTTCACTTATTCAGTAATGAAGAACTGAACTATATGGAGGTATTTAAATTTTCACCTCCTCATTATACATATTATATAACAAAGAATTTATTAAAATCTTAAAAACTATTAAGTCCTCCCCCCCCCCTCCAATGATCAGACGCAATATCGTTCTGTCCACTTTATTGATTTTCTAACAATTCTTTGTTCATCATGCCAAATGCAGTTTTCTAATTGTTAACTTTGTCATCCTGTTGCAAAAAATTCATATCCTTGCTGACATTAGGGCGGAATTCAGTTAAATTTTCTAAATTAGGATTGCTCAATTAAGATAGTCAGAAGCCTGTATTTTTCTAAACATATGGTATTTTGTGATACGTAAAAATACAGGCTTTTGATTGACCAAATGTTTCCATTGTCATTGCGAAATTTACCTAAATTCCGCACTGAAAAGCCATGGATTTACGAAAAACAGATTTTTTGTGTTCATACGATAAATTAATGAAGAAGCTAACATAATACTGACGGATTTTACACTTTACTGATATTTTGTTTAAAGAAAGTTCATTAAAAAGGGAAACCTAAAATAAACTTTCTATTTGATTTGTGGGCCCCCTCTTATGTGGGGGACCCGGAGCAACTGCCCTGTATGTCCATGCCTTAGTCATGCTCTGTTTGTAGTGTGTCTTGTTTTTATTTTTCAATGCTATTTAATAATAACATGTTCTGATGAGGCTAATATAAAATGTAGTTTTTGGCCTACTATGATATGATTTATGTTTTAACACAATGTTTTGAGCCACCAAGATAAACTTTAAAGGTCAGAATAAATTAAACCTTCTGCCTATGTCTTTTTATCCCCCTTCCCCATATTTTTTGTAATATTGTCATAATAGGATAATAAAAATTTAACGTTTGGGAAACATTGATTTATTTTTATAAAAGTTCGTTTTATTATTTTTCAAACTGTAGTGTGCAACTCGAAGGGGGAGGGATAAAGTATTTATTGAACTAGAAAAACATAGAAGGGATTTATTGTGACATGATAATGCTTAACATGGCAATATAAAACTTCAGTACTAAGTTGCATCATAATGACGTAGCACATATAATATTCTTAACAGATTTTCTGAGTTTATTTCATTCTGATACAACGTATCTCTTAAAGTTTTTTTTTAATTATTTATCTCATAGTCCAAAAATAGATCTTTCTGTTTACAAAATAATGGGAGATAAAGTTGCTAAACACAATCATGATAACAAAAAAAATTCCCACATTGTTTAAAATTCAGAGCATTTTTAGATTCAGTCAGAATAAATTGAACCACTATATGAAATTAAACGAAATTTGGATAGAATTACAAAAGTAATTTAACAAGATAACAACTGAACACTTGTAATGAATACACATGATAGCATGTAAAAAGCCCATTTTTGCTGCATGCAAAAAATGAGAACTTCACCTAATTATAAAGACTTGATATAGTCCAAATCACTGTTTTTTCATATTATTATTTTTTAAATTTACTTTATTTTTGGTAAAAGAACAGCATGTTTGATATTAATGTATCAGTTAATAAAAATGTTGAAACTTGTAGTGAAAATTCCCACATTGTTTAGTTCAGAAACGGTCGCAAAAGCTGAAAAGTACAACCAGTGCCAACATTCGCAGAAGCTAAGAAACAATGAGCTACGCTCTGTATTCACTGTTTTATCATATCAACTTTTAAATATTTTATTCCACTCAACTTTTATTATTAGATATTTTTGAGTAGCAACTTTTTACAAATGAATAGCAACCTTTTTCAAATGTCAAAAATCTGTTATTAGGTCATAGAAGAAAAGTAAGTATTCAAACCTAAATTTTCAAATATTTTAAATAAATAAATCTGCCCATTTTTTGGCATCGTAACTAGTTTTGCAATATAGCTTTTAAAAAATTCTATTAAACTTTTTTATACTTGTAGTATAAAAAATTTTTAATTAAAAATTTACTTATAGTAAACTTAGTCATTTTTATGTCCAGTACCTCGTAATTACTTTTCTACATTTTCAAGTCACTAATTTAGACTCACATTTATCGTTTTCTTGTACCGATTGTTCGCAAAAAATATTCCCAAGAGAAACGATCGATTGAGGTTCTACTCTATTTTATTTACTTTACATGGATGGAGTGGGTCTTGATTTCATTTTAATGGTTAACTATTTATGGCTAAATAGAGGTTAAGTATTTGATTTTTTTTTTTTAAGTGAAAATAATCGCCAGATGAATTGGTCAGTCAGATCTTTATAGAGTTATAGATCTGGCCTATCTATAGACAAAGGTTTTATGGACCCCAGGACATTTATTTCGGTTTCCCAAAACAATTTTAATAAAGGCTTAACAAAAGCTTTTCCAAAAATGATTGTTTGCACTTTGAATCTCGAAATATCATTTTTAATTAAACATATTATAATTTTTCGTTCCAACAGTTTTACTGTTTGAACTTATTTCTGCTGAAAACTAAAAGTCCACTGAATGAATAATTCCAGAAAACTGATGTGGAACGCTAAAACATTTGAGCATTCAAAACTCAATTTTTAATTTTTGGAAGCAAATGAAGTTTTTACATTATCAAGTATAAATGTCTTACATCCGTCTCCGTCCGTATGGTAAACAAAAATATTAAATTACTGTTGTGAACTCATCAAATTTTTTATAACAATATACTTTTAATTTTAAATGTTATTTCAAAAAATGATTATTTAGAAGAATACTTTATGTTCATTTACAGATCTCAATAGTATCATACGGAAAATATTTAGACTTGGGAAGTGGCGGCATAAGTGTACATATATTTTTAGTTGAATAATCTCAACTGTTTTATGTCAAGAAATAGCAATTATTGCGACACAAACAAAAAAGTTTTTATTATTATTATTATTTTTTTAGGGGAAAAAATTTCCCATTTTTCTATAGCACCTAGAAAAGTTCAAATTTAGCGTTGCTCATTGTCGAAACTCATTATCGTGAACTGCTAATTTCTCTCCTTCCAAAGATAAGCGAGCAAACTTTTTCGAAATTTTAACAGTTTTCTAATTTTAAGCAAAAAATATATTATGATCAACTAAACTTTAAATTTTATTCAGTTCCCCTCTCACAGAAATACAAGTTCGCGAGAACTCTGATACATATGAGGCGATCTTTAATTTGCAATGTAGCACAAGATGTAATGTAGCATAAGATGTATGCTGTCAAAAGAATTGGTTTGTATTTATTATAAATATCTTATAAGTGAACATAGCGCTTGCACTGCATCATAAATATGACATAAAAGCAGATATTTCCTTTGAAGAGAGAGTACGATTATGATTTTTTTATTGCCAACGATGCGTCTTTAACGAAAATTCAGAATTTAGATGATGCTATGAACTTTTATTTGCTAGTTCTTCCGCGAAATGGTACATTATTTAAATTTTTAAACCATTTTAAAATAGCTCTACGATTGCGATCGAATTCGAGAAACCTTCTGAACAACACTGGAAAAGCTAGTAATTTGGCATTGTAAGCGCCATCTAGTTTATTAATATTTGAAGTTACTCTATTACAATCTATGTTCAGTAGAAAAAGTGAACTGAAAGTGGCAACAGCAGTAAATTGACTTGTTGCTGGTTTGTGATTTGGGATGTGGTTGGAGCACAGAAATCATGATTTGTAAAGAATATTTCGGAACAGAAACAAATAAACTTTAATTTTGCAAGCTCGCTTTCTTTTATTTTGAAAATTACGACAATGTTGACTCATGTGCCATATAAGTATTTGGAATATTAGCGTATGATCGATTAGGATATGTGTTTCTTCCCACTGTTTACACTAGAAGTTGCTGTCAAATAGTAATCAAATGGGCGGACAGAGTGCATAATATAACTTTTGGATTAATTGATATTAGTGCATTTGATTGGTAAGTTTTTATAAATATATTTATAGTGTAAGGGTGATTGAATTTTGTTTATTCCAGTGGTATTAAGTCTAATTTTTTCTCTATTTGTAGTTAAATAACCGTATGTTTACATTCAGTTGACAATCAGCTGAGGACAAAATTACCTTGTTCAGTGAAACTTAGGCAAACGAACTAACATATTAATTACAAACAAGTATATTTACAATACACAGCTTGCAATATGTTTTTCGGATCTTCTATATTATTTATTTCTTAAGGTTGTAATGCAGTCAATAAGCGTAGTTTTAGCTTTATTTTAGATTTAAAACAATATTTCTGTTGGTTTATTATACATTGGGAGTCAGAGATTTAGAATGATGTTAGAATTATTTGCAATATATTATCTATAATTATTTCATTTATATTAGCTGATATATTTTTCTTTTAACCTTCTGATTCTTAGTCAAAATTTCTATTTAATGTCTTAATGTGATATCTAACAAATTTATTCATTACAATTGAAATCTTTTTAGAAACTAGACTTATAATCATGTTTAAGATTGTAAAAGTTTCATTTCAAGAACTAATATAACAGGATATTTGCACTGTATCGTAAATGACATGGATAACAGAGTTTTAATGAAGCTTGAAAATTGAAGAGTATAAAAATTTGGTAGTAATTTCATTTTACGATTCGTTATTCTTTCTGTTTTGGTCAATCAATAAACTGTCTTAATAATATTCCCAGATTTTAATAGGTTTTGTTTCTTTATTGATATATATTAAGAAATAAGTAGTAGTGAAAGAAACAGAAATATTAATAAAATGGGATAGCTATGTAATTATGTTTATTTTTCAATATTTCAGTAATACATTATTAAATTGTTATAATTTCTATAAATAACAACATAATTGACAACATTACCAAGCATCTGCCTAATTTCAAGAGCCTTCTAATGCAAAAGTATCTTACAACATCTATTTACATTTTAAGAAATCTTGTAATTGTAAGACTTGATGCATATAATTTAAAAGTGGAAATTGTAAAACGAAACGAAGTAAACTCAAACAATGGATTTATGTTACCAGAATAACAAAAATTAGAACTAAACATAACCAAGCTCAACTGCTCATAATTTACTATAGGCATTTACAGATATGACAGCTCATTGTATCACCAGGGGTCTGTTTAGGTTTTTCTGAGAGGTATTCATTTTGTGAAAATTTAGACATAATTTGTGAAATAATAAAAATTATATTAAAAAATCAGCACAAAATATGGTAAAAATATGGATTTATTGTTTCTTAAGAGACACAAAAATAAAATTATAAGAAAAAGTATTTTGTGAAACAACTGTTTTTCCTAAAGTTGAATTTGTGAAGGTACCGCTAAATGGTAATAAATTTGGCCTGGATAGACCCCTGATCACATAGGCAATGTAAGTTCCTACAGATAATGAGATAGTTCATTGTATTACTCCGGCAATCACGTATGATAGCATTGATGAGACAGTAATTCTGTCTGAATATTCAAAGTACAGTACGCTCTCGATTATCCGTGCGTGAATTATCCGGTTTGCGGATTATCCGTGCTCATTCCGGAATCACACAAAAAATATAAAGAGAAACATTTTCAAGATTAAAAAAATTTTATTCATGAAGTTATAACATTACCAAATTTTTCGAAGCAATATTCGTTATTGGGTTGCAGTATATGAAATATCAGCAACATAGTCAAAGGTAAAATTGTCTACGTTATCACGATCTTGGAGAAAGATCATACCGCTTGATGAACAATCCTCATCAGATGTTCAATAAAAATATGATAACAGTATTCTCGAACAAGCAAAAAAAATCTAAGGTTTCGAAATTCTTGATGAAGAAAATTTAGAAGATTGGTTTCAAAGTGATGCGTGTGAGCTTGGCTTCCAGTATTTGACTGATGAAGACATCGTTATGTTGTTAAATCAAATAGTGATGATAGTAACTGATGCAGAAAATGTAGTAAATGAATGAAATACAATTTCTCATTCTGCTGCTCTGTGGAAACTTAATTAGATTATATGGGAGGATTTGATTACGGTGACATTACTGCGGTTTTTAAAATATGTGTATCGATGTATGGCGAAGATGCATTACACATTTTTTAAAAAGGAAAATTCCTAGTTTGATGTTATGCATGCAAATGTCAGTAATTTTTATATTTTTTGTACTGATATTTAATTTTTCTTTAACAAAAGGAGTTTTCGGATTATCCGTGTTTTTCGATTGTCCGTGCGATCTGTCCTGGTGATTAACACGGATAATCGAGAGTGCACTGTAATTCTATACTTTGAGTTTTCTTAGCAAACTTAGTTCCCTAATACTCTTCAGCATGTCAACCATGATTCCATGCAAAATGATACCCGGCGGCAAAAGATGCATGGTAGTACCTTAGCTAATATCAATGACCACATTAGCATCTCCCAGCTTCAGTTCATGCACAAAGACATTGTGGTCAAAGAATCCCTATTATTTCATTATTCCAAATAATGATTTACTCACAGGATACTTGCCATAGAACGAAGTAAGGCACACTTTTTCCTAGAGGAGGAAAACCTAGAGATAGGCGCCATTCATTCCCTATCTAATTGAAACAACATTGATGCCTACAACTTAATATTTAAAATTAACTTTTAAAACTACTTGATAATGAAAAAATATATTTATTACTTACTTATAAGATGCATGGCGTCAGCTCTGTCCCTTGGGGAATCACAGTGTATTTACTGAAAGAAGTGAACAGACATCTCCTTAGTAAACAAAACCTCGAATTTAAATATGGAACTTTACTTTTGAAAGGTGTTGACTTCAGAACCAGAACTTGAGACACTTTCTCTAAAGAAATAGAAAAATGAAAATATAAGTGTATTTTATACATATCATGTATGTCTTTGTTTCTATTTAGTTGTGAATTCAGTCATTTTTAAATTTCTTCTTGGTTGATATTGTTTGTATGTGGTTCTGACGTGTTTTAAACAATCATTTTGGGACATTTGTGCATAGCTTTTTCGATACTAATAGTAAATCATTTTTAAAGTGATCTGATAGCTTATGAATATAATGATGTCTAATTGTTGCTAGGGATATAACAAATATTCGGCCATCATTTGTAATCCTTTTTGCCGAATATTCAGTTGGCCCAGTATTAGGCCGAATATTTGGCTAAGAAGTTTTTTTCAACAATTTTTTTTCTTCTTTTTTTTGGAATTTGTATGGATTTAATAAATAATCAAAAATCCTATTTTTTGCTATACATTATTAGAACTAGTTTTCTTACCACATATTAAGTTCTGAAAAACAAATTGAAAAGAGAAATTTGAAGAATTGAAACTAGATTACTTTATATTGTTGAACTACGAAATTGTAATGTTGATTTTTTTAAAAATTTTTAATTTCATTAAAGACAAGTAGATTTTTACTTATTTTTTTTAAAAAAAACTTCTTGTTTTTAGAATTAAGGACATTTTTTTTCCTTTTTACTGTTTTTCTGTTGTAGCTATAGCTTATTATTTTATTGTCACTATTTTCCTGTGATATCAGATAGGTAACCAATAATCAAAAAACTGTTATTCACAACATTAAAGTTAAATTTCAGAACAGAGAACTATTTTTTTCTTTCTGCTTCTCTTTTGCTTTTTTTAAATAACTTTTCTTTTTATCAGCATTTTATACATGACAGAGTTTTTAAAGAGTGTTTCTAATGAACATCATTCTTTTTATGGCCACTTTTTTCTAAAAATACAGCAATGCAAAAAAGCTAAATTGAGAATTTTAACATTTCTGTGAATAAATAGCAATATCTGTTTTAGTTTCTATTTAACTTTCTCTTTTTTTAATAGAGGTTTTTGTTATGATGCAGCAATTAAGATGGTTTTTATTAGAAAGCTGAGATGTTTAGCTTTAAAATTTTCTTTCAAAAATTAAAATTGATTTTTTTTTAAATAGCAGTTTTGATCGCCTTTTTAAAAGGATTTCTGATAGACTGTATCTCTTTTAATGTTTTATGGATACTTTTTTTCCCGGAAAATATTATTTTTACCCTTAAAGTTTTGTTTTTAGAAGTAAGAAGATATTTTTTTTCTATTTCTCTTACCTTTTTTTAACTGAGCAAGTTTTTATTTATCTTAAATATTTCAAATTATCTTAACATCCAATTCATTCTATCAAGTCACACATCTAGCAAATAATAGAAGAGCATTATAAAATCCAAATTCAGAAAAAGTATAATAAACAATGGGACACTGCAGATCTTCTAGCAATCCATGTTGTCCGCATTAAGAAGCTGTTGCTTAGTTCCTGTTCTGGACTGGTGATGACTGTCTTACAGATCACTTCCACTACATTGGAATATTTTAGCGCTCTAGCTGCCCATTTTGTAATTCAGCAGATCTATTTTTCAGACAAATTCCAGCCCTGATCTTCTAACTTGCTTATACCTCTGTTTCATTTTTGTGCATAAAGATTAAAATGGCATATTCAGGGGTCTGTCCAGGCCGAATTTACTACCGTTTAGCGGTACCTTCACAAATTCAACTTTAGGAAAAACGGTAGTTTCACAAATTCAATTTTCGGAAAAACGGTAGCTTCACAAAATACTTTTTCTTAAAATTTCATTTTTGTATCCCTTAAGAAACGATAAATCCATATTTTTGTGTTGATTTCTTAATATAATTTTTAATTTTTCACAAATTNAGCCCTGATCTTCTAACTTGCTTATACCTCTGTTTCATTTTTGTGCATAAAGATTAAAATGGCATATTATCACCAAAAATTTTTTATAATTTTAAGAAGATTTCGTATTTGACGGCATGAATATTTTGAGAATCTATATTATCCTGAATAAAACTGTGTGAAAGGAGAAGTACACCATTTAACTGAAAAACTCGGAAGAAATAGGATGTCCATTGCAAGAAGTTTTTGATTTCATTAAGATGTTAAAAAATTAGAAAGTCTCCAGTCGGGAATAATATTAAATCAGA